TCTCATAATGCAGGACACTGAATTGTCTTTTCCAGTCTCGAATATTTACAGAGCGCCGTCATATTGCTGGAATATTGCTGAGTGCAGCATTACACAACAAAAACATCAAACCAACCGACAATACCTCAAGAGATAAATTTATAAAATTTGAAATGTCATTTTAATACCACCGGCCATTATTTTGGACGACAAATATCGTTGAACCCAATGATAAGAAAGGAAGGTCTCAGTTTGTACTGTGTTATGTGGGAGAAAGGGCGCGTTCAATCGTCACAATACAGTGTTTAAGTATTTCTTGTTCTTTAAGAATGTGTTATTCATAGAGCAAAGATATATACACGTGAATATAAAACTGTACAGGCACATATTTGAATATCCAGCCGGTGTCACTGTGTGCACCTCATGCATAATCTGAATGACACCAAATAGACTATGGTCCACATTGCCGCTTTGTGGGCCGACCATTTGGTATTCCGAGTGGTTGCTGTGATTGTATTGAGACCAGATCAGAATATCAATTGGTCGACCCCTAACATGGGAATGCAAATGTTAATTTAACCTGTCAAGGGTATATGTCTATAACAGACTGCATAAGTCTATTCAAAAGGAACGTTTTGCACGAAGTTTATAGTTGTTCCAGTGGTGAGATGTGAATACGCCATGTCTTCTTCCTTGCAGAGGACTAGGTGTCTAGAGGATAGAGCGTCTTCTCGGGGAGCGCAAGGTCCGGGGTTCAATCCCCGGCCGCGTCATACCAAAAGACGTTAAAAGATGGTATTTGATGTTACCCTCTCTGGTGCTAGACATTAAGGGGCTAAAACAAGGACTGGTCGGCTCGCAGTCAGTATACTGAGTCTGAGATGGGCACACGTGTACATCAGTCCCCGCAACACGTGTAGATCTACTAGCCAAAGGAGATTTCAGTGTTGGTATTCCGAAATAGGGCCTTACATCAGGGATTTTGCTCAATGCTCGATAACATGGATACTAGACCTCAAGGTTCATATTCTTCTCCGCTTGTTTTCTTACTCCAAAAAGAAAAGAAGAAAAGAAAGAAAAACGCTTGCTTCTTGACACGGGTGTGTGTGGGGGTGTGTGTGTGGGGGTGTGTGGCCCTGGGATTTTTCATAATGTTTGTCGTTATTGTCCCACGACGGTCACTGATCCTGTCTATGGCATCATTTTCAATCGAAAACGAGGAAAACATGATTGTTCCATCTTCGAGCAATAACGTTCTTTGAATGTTCTTGAAGGTTGTATAATTTTGAAAATTCACAAGAGAGTCGACACGAATAGGGGAAAGAGTGGCCATTTTTTCGTCTGTTTCTGTCGTCTCCAGTGTGAACAAATCTCACTTAAATAATTTGTGTAAAAAATATCCAACAAACTCGCAGATATATTAAATGCATATCCATTGTCTTAGCATGTTTCAATTATAGACCGACCGAAAATCTTGGCATACCGTCAACATGAATGACAAAGTAATGAATTAGTGATACTCTGTTCGTGAGTTCGTAGTAAACATTCATGAAAGAAAAAGTAGTCCATCATCCGGTTCTTTTCTAAACTTAGCATAATCTGTGTCTCTGCGGCTTTCATGATATATACAGATGTGCCGACTCCTTACACTCTCCTACCCAGAGTTCCATGCGGCCGGCAGCCAGCTAGCATAGTACCTCTGCCACAGGCCAGCGCCATGTGACGATTCGTTACACTCTCCTACCCAGAGTTCCATGCGGCCGGCAACCAGCTAGCATAGTACCTCTGCCACAGGCCAGCGCCATGTGACGATTCGTTACACTCTCCTACCCAGAGTTCCATGCGGCCGGCAGCCAGCTAGCATAGTACCTCTGCCACAGGCCAGCGCCATGTGCCGACTCGTTACACTCTCCTACCCAGAGTTCCATGCGGCCGGCAGCCAGCTAGCATAGTACCTCTGCCACAGGCCAGCGCCATGTGACGATTCGTTACACTCTCCTACCCAGAGCTCCATGCGGCCGGCAACCAGCTAGCATAGTACCTCTGCCACAGGCCAGCGCCATGTGACGATTCGTTACACTCTCCTACCCAGAGTTCCATGCGGCCGGCAGCCAGCTAGCTAGTACCTCTGCCACAGGCCAGCGCCATGTGACGATTCGTTACGCTCTCCTACCCAGAGTTCCATGCGGCCGGCAACCAGCTAGCATAGTACCTCTGCCACAGGCCAGCGCCATGTGACGATTCGTTACACTCTCCTACCCAGAGGTCCATGCGGCCGGCAGCCAGCTAGCACAGTACCTCTGCCACAGGCCAGCGCCATGTGACGATTCGTTACACTCTCCTACCCAGAGTTCCATGCGGCCGGCAGCCAGCTAGCACAGTACCTCTGCCACAGGCCAGCGCCATGTGACGATTCGTTACACTCTCCTACCCAGAGTGCCATGCGGCCAGCAGCCAGCTAGCATAGTACCTCTGCCACAGGCCAGCGCCATGTGACGATTCGTCACATCTTTCACAGTCCATTCAAGATATTGCATATGATTTTCATCCGTTTCCTGTTTGACAAGTCTACACATTTTCATAAACAAATGTCAAAGAATGGTTAACTTTCATTGAGAAAGTATGCAAATACGTAAAAATCTACTTGTTTTTGCGTAGTTATCCTATGTTTACATTGGTTGTACGGCTCCACGTGCTGTCATCGAAGCGCAACGGAGAGCTAGCGACACGGTCACTTTGATGCATAAATATATATTGTCATGCAACTCACTGTCGCAGTTGTAGTAGCATATCTATATAGTTATGCAAAACAATATGTAAAGCGCCCCAAAATACTTACATTAGTCCGTTCTATACTGATTTCTGAAAAAGCGCGTTTGTTTACAAACAAGAGAAAAGTCCGGTCACGTGATATGCAAATTAGCCTGTGGCAGTGGTGTTATGCTGAGTCACCACTGCGACGGAGTGTGGACTCGTTACTAAGATCAAACGTTAAAGTACACACATGGACTATCTGTTCTGACTTTTGCTACTTTCCCAGATAACCATTTATTTCATTTATAGACAAACGTTGGTGGAAGACAATACGTTAAACTGTATACATTATTAACGGTACATTATTTACGGTGACATTGATGAATGAATGAAAGTTTTTTTCTGGGCGGCCAATCGGTCAAAAATACACCAGTTGGTTAAAGGACAAATATCATATGTTACGAATAAAGTATTAAATGTTTCTAATAAAGATCGTGATACAAAACAAATAGATGGCATACGAAATAAAGAATATACAAAAGAACGCAGTTGTTTTCTGATGCATGATTAGAAAACATATTCCGCTAACAATGTGAGATGACAATATGAATATTTCATTTATATTTTTTTATTACGTGTTCGTATCGTTATCTACTGTGTAGTTGTCGATCACAAACGTTGATACTGCTTAATTTCGTTTATCCGACATACTCGTTAATCCGACATAATCAAATGCAACCAACAATGTCGGATTAACGGGACTTGACTTTATTATACTTAAGTGTAAAAGACTGAGCTTTCCGAAGTTGAGAATAGTTATATTTTCATTGCAGTGAAGTTGAGTGAACATAACAATTGATATTTCGCTGCAGTGAACATAACACTTGATGTTTCACTGTTGTGAACATAACACTTTCACGGACCTATGTCATACAAGAGTGACCTCCCCTCGAATTGTCTCCCTTTATCGTGAGTGTCAGGCCGTTCACAAACTGTTGACTTCCATTTTACGTTAGATCCACATTGACAAGGCAAAATAAGGACAGGTGGTCATTTATGGAGTTAATATCGCTTCATGGCGTTTGTGTCAATTGAAAATGTTCCGTTATAAACTGTAAATTTACTCAATTTCTCACTCAACTCGTCAATCGAGACAGTTCGTTTCACAAAGCGCCATTTTTGTAACTTGACCAGCGTGTGTCTTTCGCTTCCAACAGCGGTCTCAAAGTTTTCAAGAATATTTTTTGTAAAAGTTGATTTTGTATTTAATCATATTTATGTGTTTTGTTACTATTGTTTATATTTGTTATGATTATGCAAACACGAAACTACTTTTTTAGTCGCAAGTACAAGGGGTAGTGGGTAGTGTTTCAAGGTTTTACATTAGTTATGAAATAATTTAATTTCCCGGTAGACAACTACATAAAAAGTATATAATAAATAGGATATTCCATGTGTCTCGTGAAATATCAGGTCTCTCTCTCTCTCTCTCTCTCTCTCTCTCTCTCTCTCTCTCTCTCTCTCTCTCTCTCTCTCTCTCTCTCTCTCTTTATCATTCAACTTCATTCTTCCAACGTGGAACGGGATCTGCACCATAAAAGTTTGCAATCACGTCACAATACTCAATGACGTGATTTGAGGAATTTTGTTGCAAGATCCACCGGCGAAACAATGCCATGTGACGTCAGCCTAGCAACGGGGTTGCTGGGTCATTGAGTGTACATAAGCTCCTCTCGGTGATCTATCATCTCCTCACGCAATGTCCCGTGGGAGCCAGTTTGGGATGATAAAAAATACAACAATATTTTATATAAGAATGCATTCACACATTCTTTAGAAGTTCTCAGATGGTGGCCTGTTTTAAGATATAGTCGTCTTTTTGAGTGAGTGAGATGTTTTACAGTTGTTCTTGTGATTATCGAGAAAACTACGATTGTTTCTGAAGCGTCCGAAAACCCATAACACGGGGATATATACATATCCATTATATTTAGTGCCATGTATAAAACTGAGACATTAATTGTCTTGTTAAATTAATCATGACATAAATTGCTAATCATTATGAGTACCAGACTGATCTATGCCATAAACAGTTTAGCTGGCAAAGATCAAAATTGATTACTTGATTACTATACATTTTTATTTGCCACAGCCTAGAGTCAGCATTGTAAATAGATTAAATGGAAAATGTTTAAATACAGCCTGTATGCGTTATTCAAATTAAATTTCTAAAAATCTCAAACAGATCCGTTGAAAATATCAAATGAATAATTGGCATAGTATATTGGAGTAACCTCCCTTTGACAAAATGGCAACACTTTGTCAACTTTTCCGTGCTATAAGACTGCTGCAGGCGGGGAGACAGACGCACTGTCAGTGCTTCTACAGTAGTGCATCGGATTCATGGCAGGCTGTTCCCGTCCAGGAAGTCCAGCGATTTATAGAAGAGTGCATGGCAACTGTTGGAACCCGCGCGGACCATGCCACCTCTCTGGCGAACAACTTGGTCACAGCTGATCACAGAGGACACTATAGCCACGGCCTCAACAGACTAGGTGCGTCTTCCGCTGATGGGACCACACCAGGTTGTATAAGGCTGTCGCGGAACAGACATCCATGGATAAATATGCTTCCACAGATTTTAAAAATTAGAAGTACATTGGAACAGAAATAAGTATTGTATTAGCCGTAAAATGTACAATAATTGTATAAAATAATTCAATTATAAGGCCATTTAATTTTGGTATGAAAGTATTAATTAATAAAATAACTTTTTTATCTTTCTCAGTGCATCATTTTTACATTTGTAAAACGGGAATATCACAAAATTTGGTGCTTTATTCTCATATATTTAGAGAATCTCAGCCGAGTGTCTTTTCATATAAAATATATCAACACGAGTTGATAAAATGGAAAAACTCTGAGGCTTGCCGAGGACTTTTCCACTTTTATCAACAAGTGTTGATATATTTTATATAAAAAGACACAAGGGTGAGATTTTATTTATCATCCAACATCATTTTTCCAACTTGTTCATTTTGTAGACAGTAATAAGCAGTGTCTTAAGTATAAAAAGCTCTGCTAACAGCTTCAGTAGCAGAGCCATTAATGATGTCATTTGATTGTGATGTCATGGTAACCAATGACATCACAATGGTCTGCAAAGCATTGTGATGCAAATTTCATTCCAGCGATATCTACAATGTAGATATCGCTTGATCTCACCCAAGCGATATCTAGTTGGAGCCAGTTTTGGATGATAAATGATAGTTACGATACAGAAATGAACAAGGGTAAAAATCCTTTTCACATGTGGTATTACATGATTAGGTCAGTCCAGAAGAAGAAAAGATATTCTTATAAAGCCAAAAGGAATTACTTTTTGTGTTTGAAAATATGCTAAGAGACTGGTCATTTATTATGGGGTTGGGATGGGTTGGGTGACAGAGCGAATTGGGAGGGTCACGAAACAATATGACTTATTCCGGGAGGGTCATGATAAAATGGACATTTTTAAATGGCCGGTCCCTTAATTAGTTGCAATATCTGTGTGTACTACTTTTTACCTTCAAAGAAACCCTGACAATATGTATTTCTGCCTTCATTGTCTTGGTATGTTTGCAAGGAATATCAGTAAAACATGATTGACACTATAGTTTCATTTGGCTTGTTTTGTCCTTTCTGCTACAGATTTGTACATCAATGACATAGAGTCAGGGATCACCGTTAGCGACGCCGAGCCCAGCATTATCCGGGAGTCGGCAGCCACAGCCCACGTCGACGGCAACAACGTTCTTGGTCCGGTGGTGGGCAACTTCAGCATGGAACTGGCCATACAGAAAGCCAAGGTTGCAGGGGTAGGCTGGGTGGCTGCAAAAGGTACCGGTACCTCGTATATCCCCGAAAACGTATGATGTTTGAAAACCTATGATCTGAAAATACTGTAGGCAGCAAATAAATGGATCACTTGTTCACTGAGTTCTCAGTTTTATCCGAAACGCTTACGGATGAGTAAAACTTACAAAAAATAAAGGCCCAATATAAATAAATTATTAGATTTTCACCCAAATGTTTTTAAAAAATTGAGGCGGGTGGCATTGTATTTTAGTAGTTATTTTTTTAAACAAGCAGTTCATTGCATCTGTGTATGTCAACTGTGAATGTATGTGATTCACATGAAGCATGAATGTTAGGTCGGATGATGTATAGTCAGTGGTATTCCAAAACATGTGCCCTTGGTAGGCAGATTGGAAAAAGGAAATACCTATTTTGTACAAAATTGGGATTTAAAAAAAATTAATATGAAAAAAGATTCAGTATCTTCTCTTTAATGGTCTTGTTATCAGTGAACTACATTCAAATCTGTAGAACCATATATTGGTAATAACTATATTAACAGGAGTAAGGAATTATTTTCCAACTTTGGAATTTTAACTGACATTTGCGGCAAACTAGGGTCTCATATCCACCTAGTGTAGCAGGTGTAGATAAGTCCCTGATCACGTATTTCATCAGGTAATGAAAGAAGGGGAAACATTTAAGGATTTCTGTCCACGTTACTTGGGTCAATAGCTAGATGATAAGCCATGGGGTGTTTGGTAGTTAAGGGGTAGGGAATGTGAAAATGTGATAATACAATCATTTTGGCATAAACTGTGACTTGTAACTGTAAGTACATTTCTGCTACCTGTTTCAGGGTCCAACCATTTTGGTATTGCGGGCTGGTATTCCATGCTGGCATCTCAACAGGGCCTCCTTGTGAGTTGAAATCAAACAAGTTTCAGTATCGTGAGTGAATAGGCTTTGATTTCAGTGAAGAAAATGTCCTTCACTGCACGGATACATTGGTCAAAGGTTCAAATCCCAGATTTGACATGATCATTGGTTTGTCAGCACCAATATACATACTGTTCTAAGTGGTGTCAGCTCACAAGATACATAAGGGGTTGTTACACAAGATACATAAGGGGTTGTTACACAGGATACATAAGGGGTTGTTACACAGGATACATAAGGGGTTGTTACACAGAATACATAAGGGGTTGTTACACAAGATACATAAGGGGTTGTTACACAGGATACATAAGGGGTTGTTACACAAGATACATAAGGGGTTGTTACACAGGATACATAAGGGGTTGTTACACAGGATACATAAGGGGTTGTTACACAGGATACATAAGGGGTTGTTACACAAGATACATAAGGGGTTGTTACACAGGATACATAAGGGGTTGTTACACAGGATACATAAGGGGTTGTTACACAAGATACATAAGGGGTTGTTACACAGGATACATAAGGGGTTGTTACACAAGATACATAAGGGGTTGTTACACAGGATACATAAGGGGTTGTTACACAGGATACATAAGGGGTTGTTACACAAGATACATAAGGGGTTGTTACACAGGATACATAAGGGGTTGTTACACAAGATATGTTAGGGGTTGTTACACAAGATATGTAAGGGGTTGTTACACAGGATATGTAAGGGGTTGTTACAGATAATACATAAAGGAATGAGTGAGTGAGTTAGATTGAACACCGCTTTAAACAGTATTCCAGTAAGATAATGGCGTGTCAGCTTATTGTGGGAGGAAAGCTCGAAGTGATGCTGGTTTCAGCAATACCACTCCGCAATATTCCAGCTCTATGATGGCTTTGTAAATAATCGAGTCTGCACCAGACAATCCAGTGATTGACATCATGAGCATTGATCTACACAATTGGGGTACGATGACATGCATCAACCAAGTCAGTGAGCCAGACAACCTTATCCTGTTAGTTGCCTCTTGCGGCAAACAATCGGTTGCTGAAGATCTATTCTAACCCAGATCTTCACAGGTCTCATGCGCATCGTACCAAAAGATGTTAAGATATGTACTACTTATTGTTACCCTGCCAGGTGCTCGGCATTAAGGGGATAAAACAGGCGTTAGTCGGCCTGGAGTATACTGTGTCTCAGGTGGGTATTCAAGTTAAACAGTGGCATGGTATTGTATCTCAGCGGGCTAGCACTATAAAATCAGAGGAAGTTCAGACTACACACACACACACACACACATGCATGCATGTTGCAATATACCGTATTCAACGTAATAAGCGCCCACTAGTGAAGAATCCCAATTGCACCCCTTCCGATTGATCATTGTACACAAGACGTATTTATTCGTGTGTTATATGCACCCTTAATTATTGGCAATTAATTTCTGGAAAATTATATCTGCCATATATACCGGTAAACATTTCAGGCTGTTAGCATAAACCACAAAATTTACGATATTTCAACTCTGGTTTTTTTCACCAAAGTAATATTTTAATAAGAGCCCCCTATTTCTAAATTTGAGAGCGCCCTGGGCGCTTATTACATCGAATACGGTAAGTGCAATAATCTTGAATGTGATGTTAAACCCCATTTCACCTAACCTCAACTCAACTCAACTCACCAGCAAGCTATCTTGTGTAATAGTGTGAGTGAGTAATTATCTCTTTCAGCTTGTAATAGTAGCTGACCCGTGAAGATCCGGGGTAGAATAGGTCTTCAGCAACCCATTCTTGCCGTAAAAGGCGACTATGCTTGTCGTAAGAGGCGACTAACGGAATCGGGTGGTCAGGCTCGCTGACTTAGTTGATGCATATCATCAATCCCAATTGCGTGGATCGATGCTCATGACATCAATCACTGGATTGTCTGGTCCAGACTCGATTACTTACAGACTGCCGTCATATAGCTGGAATATTGCTGAGTGCGGCATTAAACAACAAACAAACAAAAAACAAAAACAGACATGTAATGGTAGCTGAGTTATGTTGAAGCATGTGTAACTCAGATGTTGTCTTGGTAAGGACTGCTTCTCAAACTAGTTGCTCTTGATGTGCAAGTCGTGTTATATACCGGCTAATGGTCCAAACCATATGTTACTATTTAAGTTACCGTGTTTTCTTGAGTATGGTGCACACGCAAGTATAATGCGCACCCCACTCTAGCGAATTCAGTATTTTTGAAAAAGAAAATTATAAATATTTTGTGCAGAAAAAAATTACAACGCACCCCTTCAGCGAACTCCGTAAACGGGTGATAAGAAACTTGGTCAGTACAAATTTGAAATTTGAGATACAAAATCACCAGACATGTTGATTTTAAGTTTACATTATATTTTTTTGTTCTGCTTGGCATTGTTTTACATCCAGGGATTAAGATATTTTCTCCTAAACTAAGCCGGAAACAGCAATCAGCTGTACACAAGTTTTCTTGGAATCTACCGGTGATTCGGTTAAAACTTACCCAATGATATAAGTTTAAAGGATTTTAATTCAAGGATCGGGAAAAATGGTATGTGGAACTATTTTTTTATCAGAAATATTATATTCCAATATCATGTTATTTTTTCTGCAGCTTTAATTAAATATATTTAGAATAACAAGCATAGCATTTCGGTGCAGCTGATTGCGACTTGATTATATTTATCGCATGGAACAATTTAACCAGTAGCCGTTGAGGCTCCCGCGCACGTGATCGCGAGAACTATATGTTGATTTAGTACAATCCCAAATCTGGCATCACGCCAAATCACAGCCTCACTCAGTGCCCAGCAATGTCTAAGGTGAGGTGAGGTGAGGTGAAATTGGGTTTAACGTCGCGTCAAAGATTATTGCACTTATATAGCGATGTGCATGCACGTGTGTGTGTGTGTGGCTGCTTTTACTAGTCCGGACTGATGACAATTTATAGTGCTAGCCCACTGAGATACCATGCCACAGTTTAACATGAATACCCCACTCAGACACAGTATACTGACTCCGAGCCGACCAGTCCTTTTTTTAGCCCCTTAAGGCTGAGCGCCAGACAGGGTAACAACAAGTACCATCTTTTAACGTCTTTTGGTATGACGCGGAAGGGGATCGAACCCCGTACCTTCTGCTCTCCGGGCGGACGCTCTACCATAAGACCATGGAGGCGGTCCAATGTCTAAAAGCCAAGACTATATAGGCAATACACACAAGCACCTAACCTACTCTATATATACTGTACTATACCATTTCAATCAATCATGACTGACTCACGCAACAGTACCGAGGAGTGAGTTCAGTTAAAAGCTAGTTTGAACAGTATTCCGTTTATATCACGGCATGTCAATGTATTGTGGGAGGAAAGCCCAAAGTGATGCAGGTCTCACTCATTTTGTGGTGAAACTCACAAGCACGATCATAGGTTTCTGGCGTGGCCAAGGGACACAACCCTGTGCAGCGAAATGAGGCGCCTTAGGCACCCGTGCCCCCTCCATTGTTTGTAGTATTGCTTCCGTACAGTGAAGGACAATCCTGGCTCACTTTCACACCAACTTCAAAAGAAGTCCTCTAAGTTTGCAAGTGAATGTCTTTTATCCAGTCGTATATGAAATTGTATGTAAAAATGTGTGAATACTGTTAGATTTAATGTTGTGACTAATTGTTGTTTGTAATACAGTATGTAATGATGTGTTGCAAAGTGTTGTTGTTGTTGTTCATGTTAATATAACGTATTAAGATTGTTGTTTGTTGCAGGGAATGGCGTTCACCAACACCTCCCCGCTGTCAGTACCTACGAGAGCCAGGAAGGTAGAGTGGAGACTGGAGAAATAAACCCAGGCTTGCAGTGATTGTCAATACTTTGTGAGGTTTATGTACACATTGTTCCTCGATCACCACATCTTGGATGTTTAGTACAAAGAACTGACGATATCTTTAGTATGAAGTACAGACGATACAAGTTCTAGTTATAGTCACCCTAGAGAACCAGCTATAACTCCCTCAGGGGTACAATGTATTCCCGACACCCTCCTGACGTCCCTTATATCTCCCTGCAGGCTACGCTGGGCACAAACCCTCTATCTCTGGCAGCTCCAGCTCGCAGTGGTGACGAGTTTGTACTGGATATGGCCACCACTACAGTAGCACTGGGCAAGGTATGGAACCTCGCATCATATTGTGACTCTGTTATTCTCTAATCATACAGAAAAATTCAGTAATTTCAGCTTCAAGTGTTTATATACTTCTTGTGTCAGCATGACATTTTACACTCTGCAGTGATAATGGTATAGATTTCCACCTAGGAGAATCATGATAATGAATATGGATCACGTAGTTGTTTGTGTCATCCGCCATAAGGTTTTCATAAGACATATACCGTATTCGACGTAATAAGCGCCCCGCTCTAATAAGCGCCCACGGCGACATTTGCAAACATATTGGCCAGTGAAAAATCCCAATAAACACCCCTTCCGATTGATCAATGTACACGAGACTTATAGAACGCACTCGTGTGTTATATGCACCCTTAATTATGGGCAATTAAATTCTGGAAAAACACTATCTTTCTGTCGTACACAAACATTTCAGGCTGTCAGCATTAACCATGAAATTTATGTTTCAACTCTTTTTTTTCTCACCAAAATAATATTCTTATAATAGCCCCCTATTTCTAATTTTGAGAGCGCCCTGGGCGCTTATTACGTCGAATACGGTATATATAATGACAAGCACTGTCACTAGAGTAAGTTCTTCAGCAACCCATGCTTGCCATAAAAGTTGACAATATTTGTCGTAAGAGGCGACTAACGGGGTCGGGTGGTCAGGCTCGCTGACTTGGTTAATGCATGTGATCGTATCCCAATTGCGTAGATTGATGCTCATGTTATCAGTCACTGGATTGTCTGGTCCCGACTTTTATTTACAGACCGCCATCATATAGCTTGAATGTTGTTTAGTGTGGCGTTAAACAAGAAACAAACAAACTAGAATAAGTTGACATGCAGTGGTTGTTATTGTTCATAGTTATGACCTGTGACTCACAGTAAGATCAAACACCCTGTGATGCACTCATGTTGGTTTCACAATACTGAATGTGGTATCGACCTTTTCATACATCACTTCTTGAGTGCCAATCATCCGAGGTGGCACTATTCATTGTGCAGATTGTGTGTCACTGTGCCCCACAGGGTGAATCAGTGCTCTTGTTATCAGCCACTGGTTTATCTGTCTCAGACAATTATTTACAGGCTGCCATGATTTGGCAGGAATAATGATAAGCAACATTGACTCAGTTGCTCACTCATGACATCCTCCTCTCCTCAGATCGAACTCCACGACCGCAAAGGCATCAAGATCCCCAACAGCTGGGGTGTGGACAAGCATGGTCGGGTAAGTCACCTCCCAACACACGGTGAGTCACCACATTACAGCCTCACCTGTCACGCAGGGTGAGTCAATACCCTACCGTACCCGTGAAGATCTGGGGTAGAAAAGGTCTTCAGCAACCCATTCTTGCCGTAAAAGGCGACTATGCTTGTCGTAAGAGGCGACAAACGGGATCAGGCGGTCAGGCTCACTGACTTGTTTGATGCATGTCATCGACCCCAATTATGTAGAATCACTGAATTGTCTGGTCACGACTTGATTATTTACAGACCGCCATCATATTGCTGGAATATTGCTGATGCGGCGTTAAATAACAAAGCTATGCCCTACAGCCTCACCCGTCACACAGGGTCAAATAGAAATAAAACTCAAAACTGTTGACAAGATAATAGTGTGCATAATAAGACATCTTGAGGAATTTGGGGACACACCCCAATGCCCTACACAATAACATGTGACTTGTTGACGCCCACACCTGACAGTATGTGATGTCTGCCCCCACTACACCCAACCCTTGTGTGTTGCAGGAGTCCAATGACCCGAAGACTGTGATAGAGGGTGGAGGCCTCATGATGGTTGGGGGATCAGAGCTCACAGGTACAACTTGTGTAGTACATCTTCCCGAGGCAAGGGAGTTAACTGACTCTAAAAGTCCAGTTTCCACCCTTGCCGATCTAGCCTGGTATAATTGAGTTACATTTTGGCTGGACTAACAAGTCTATGCATAGTCCAATCAGACAAAATCCTGTTCGTAAACTGAGTTTGGTCGATTGCAGGATTTGACAATCATATCGTGATTATCACAGATAGGTTGGCAGTCATATCATGATTATCACAGACCGGTTGACAGTCATATCATGATTATGATAATTATCACATACCGGTTGACAGTCATATCATGATTATGACAATTATCACAGCTAGGTTGACAGTCATATCATGATTATCACAGATAGGTTGGCAGTCATATCGTGATTATCACAAGCAGGTTGGTAGTCATATCATGATTATCAAAGATAGGTTGGCAGTCATATTGTGATTATCACATACCGGTTGACAGTCATATCATGATTATGACAATTATCACAGATAGATTGACAGTCATATCGTGATTATGACAATTATCACAGATAGGTTGACAGTCATATCGTGAATATGACAATTATCACAGATAAGTTGACAGTCATATTGTGATTATGACATTTATCACAGATAGGTTGACAGTCATATTGTGATTATCACAGACAGGTTGACAGTCATATTGTGTTTATCACAGATTGGTTGGCAGTCATATCTTGATTATCAAAGATTGGTTGACAGTCATATTGTGATTATCACAGATTGGTTGGCAGTCATATCTTGATTATCACAGATAGGTGGACAGTTATATCATGATTATGACAGATGGGTTGACAGTCATTTTGTGATTATCAAAGACAGGTTGACAGTCATATCATGATTATGACAGATGGGTTGACAGTCATATTGTGATTATCACAGATTGGTTGGCAGTCATATCTTGATTATCACAGATAGGTGGACAGTTATATCATGATTATGACAGATGGGTTGACAGTCATTTTGTGACTATCAAAGACAGGTTGACAGTCATATCATGATTATCACAAATGGGTTGACAGTCATATTGTGATTATCACAGATGGGTTGACAGTCATATCGTGATTATAACAGATAAAGCGTTAAAGTGTTCTGTGGGTGGGTACAAGGGTTACAGTGTTCTGTAGGTGGGTACAAGGGTTACAGTGTTCTGTGGGTGGGTACAAGGGTTACAGTGTTCAGTAGGTGGGTACAAGGGTTACAGTGTGTTCTGTAGGTGGGTACAAGCGTTAAAGTGTTCTGTGGGTGGGTACAAGGGTTACAGTGTTCTGTAGGTGGGTACAAGGGTTACAGTGTTCTGTAGGTGGGTGCAAGGGTTACAGTGTTCTGTAGGTGGGTTCAGGGTTAGTGTTCTGTAGGTGGGTACAAGGGTTACAGTGTTCTGTAGGTGTGTACAAGGGTTACAGTGTTCTGTTTGTGGGTACAAGGGTTACAGTGTGTTCAGTAGGTGGGTACAAGTGTTACAGTGTGTTCTGTAGGTGGGTACAAGGGTTACAGTGTTCTGTAGGTGGGTACAAGGGTAACAGTGTTCAGTAGGTGTGTACAAGGGTTACAGTGTGTTCTGTATGTGGGTACAAAGGTTACAGTGTTCTGTAGGTGGGTACAAGGGTTACAGTGTTCTGTAGGTGGGTACAAGGGTTACAGTGTTCTGTAGGTGGGTACAAGGGTTACAGTGTTCTGTAGGTGGGTACAAGGGTTACAGTGTTCTGTATGTGGGTACAGGGGTTACAGTGTTCTGTAGGTGGGTACAAGGGTTACAGTGTTCTGTAGGTGGGTACAAGGGTTACAGTGTTCTGTAGGTGGGTACAAGGGTTACAGTGTTCTGTAGGTGGGTACATGGGTTACAGTGTTCTGTAGGTGGGTACAAGGGTTACAGTGTTCTGTGGGTGGGTACAAGGGTTACAGTGTTCTGTAGGTGGGTACAAGGGTTACAGTGTTCTGTAGGTGGGTACAAGGGTTACAGTGTTCTGTAGGTGGGTACATGGGTTACAGTGTTCTGTAGGTTGGTACAAGGGTTACAGTGTTCTGTGGGTGGGTACAAGTGTTACAGTGTGTTCTGTGGGTGGGTACAAGGGTTACAGTGTGTTCTGTAGGTGGGTACAAGGGTTAGAGTGTTCTGTAGGTGGGTACAGGGTTACAGTGTTCTGTATGTGGGTACAAGGGTTACAGTGTTCTGTAGGTGGGTACAGGGTTACAGTGTTCTGTAGGTGGGTACAAGGGTTACAGTGTTCTGTAGGTGGGTACAAGGGTTACAGTGTGTTCTGTAGGTGGGTACAGGGTTACAGTGTGTTCTGTATATGGGTACAAGGATTACAGTTTTCTGTTTGTGGGTACAAGGGTTACAGTGTTCTGTATATGGGTACAAGGATTACAGTTTTCTGTTTGTGGGTACAAGGGTTACAGTGTTCTGTAGGTGGGTACAGGGTTACAGTGTGTTCTGTAGGTTGGTACAAAGGTTACAGTGTTCTGTAGGTGGGTACAAGGGTTACAGTGTTCTGTAGGTGGGTACAAGGGTTACAGTGTTCTGTAGGTGGGTACAGGGTTACAGTGTGTTCTGTATGTGGGTACAAGGGTTACAGTGTTCTGTAGGTGGGTACAAGGGTTACAGTGTGTTCTGTATGTGGGTACAGGGTTACAGTGTGTTCTGTAGGTGGGTACAAGGGTTAAAGTGTTCTGTAGGTGAGTGGGTTACAGTGTTCTGTAGGTGGGTACAGGGTTACAGTGTTCTGTACATGGGTACAAGGATTATAGTGTGTTCTGAAGGTGCATACAAGGGTTATAGTGTGTTCTGTGTTCTGTAGGTGGGTACAAGGGTTATAGTGTGTTCTGTGTTCTGTAGGTGGGTACAAGGGTTATAGTGTGTTCTGTGTTCTGTAGGTGGGTACAAGGGCTACGGTCTGTCCATGCTGGTGGAGGTTTATAGTGTGTTCTGTGTTCTGTAGGTGCATACAAGGGTTACAGTGTGTTCTGTGTTCTGTAGGTGGGTACAAGGGTTATAGTGTGTTCTGTAGGTGGGTACAAGGGTTATAGTGTGTTCTGTGTTCTGTAGGTGCATACAAGGGTTATAGTGTGTTCTGTGTTCTGTAGGTGGGTACAAGGGTTATAGTGTGTTCTGTGTTCTGTAGGTGGGTACAAGGGTTATAGTGTGTTCTGTGTTCTGTAGGTGGGTACAAGGGCTACGGTCTGTCCATGCTGGTGGAGGTTTATAGTGTGTTCTGTGTTCTGTAGGTGGGTGCAAGGGCTACGGTCTGTCCATGCTGGTGGAGGTTTATAGTGTGTTCTGTGTTCTGTAGGTGCATACAAGGGTTATAGTGTGTTCTGTGTTCTGTAGGTGCATACAAGGGTTATAGTGTGTTCTGTGTTCTGTAGGTGCATACAAGGTTTATAGTGTGTTCTGTGTTCTGTAGGTGGGTACAAGGGTTATAGTGTGTTCTGTGTTCTGTAGGTGGGTACAAGGGTTATAGTGTGTTCTGTGTTCTGTAGGTGGGTACAAGGGTTATAGTGTGTTCTGTGTTCTGTAGGTGCATACAAGGTTTATAGTGTGTTCTGTGTTCTGTAGGTGCATACAAGGGTTATAGTGTGTTCTGTGTTGTGTAGGTGCATACAAGGGTTATAGTGTGTTCTGTGTTCTGTAGGTGCATACAAGGGTTATAGTGTGTTCTGTGTTCTGTAGGTGGGTACAAGGGCTACGGTCTGTCCATGCTGGTGGAGGTTTATAGTGTGTTCTGTGTTCTGTAGGTGCATACAAGGGTTATAGTGTGTTCTGTGTTCTGTAGGTGCATACAAGGGTTATAGTGTGTTCTGTGTTCTGTAGGTGCATACAAGGTTTATAGTGTGTTCTGTGTTCTGTAGGTGGGTACAAGGGTTATAGTGTGTTCTGTGTTCTGTAGGTGGGTACAAGGGTTATAGTGTGTTCTGTGTTCTGTAGGTGGGTACAAGGGTTATAGTGTGTTCTGTGTTCTGTAGGTGCATACAAGGTTTATAGTGTGTTCTGTGTTCTGTAGGTGCATACAAGGGTTATAGTGTGTTCTGTGTTGTGTAGGTGCATACAAGGGTTATAGTGTGTTCTGTGTTCTGTAGGTGCATACAAGGGTTATAGTGTGTTCTGTGTTCTGTAGGTGGGTACAAGGGTTATAGTGTGTTCTGTGTTCTGTAGGTGGGTACAAGGGTTATAGTGTGTTCTGTGTTGTGTAGGTGCATACAAGGGTTATAGTGTGTTCTGTGTTCTGTAGGTGCATACAAGGGTTATAGTGTGTTCTGTGTTCTGTAGGTGGGTACAAGGGCTACGGTCTGTCCACGCTGGTGGAGGTTTATAGTGTGTTCTGTGTTCTGTAGGTGGGTACAAGGGCTACGGTCTGTCCACGCTGGTGGAGGTTTATAGTGTGTTCTGTGTTCTGTAGGTGGGTACAAGGGCTACGGTCTGTCCATGCTGGTGGAGGTGTTCTGTGGGATCCTGTCAGGGAGTACATTCGGTCCCGACATACGGAAATGGCGTAACACTGATACTGTGGCAAACCTGGTAAGTGTATCCAGGTTACAGACAACTCTTCATATGAATCAAATAGTAGGGCAAGTCAGGCAGTGTTCGCTCGTCATGCCGAAGACCCAGGTTCAATTCCTGACATGGGTACAATGTGTGAAGCCCATTTCTGGTGTCCCCCGCCGTGACATTGCTGGAATATTGCTTAAAGCGGGGTAAAACCATACTCACATGACATCAGATTGTGACTGGTTCATCCACTTGAACACACAACCCTGTGGGCATTCCGGGTTAGAATAGGTCCCCCCGCAACCTATGCTGGTCGTAAGAGGCGACCAAATGGATCAGATGGTGAGACTCAATGACTTGTTTGATGGCATGTCTTCAGTCCATGATGGCATTGATCATTGCTCGATTATTTACAGGCCACCATCATGTGGCTGGAATATTGCGGGGTTAAACAACACCAACTTTAACAGAGCCAATTGTCTCAACAAGTGCACACATCTGGAGATAATGCTTTTTGATTTTGTATTATTTGACTCCTATTCAGGGACAGTGCTTCATTGCCATCGACCCAGAATGCTTTGCACCGGGCTTCAGTGACAGAATGTCAGATTTGGTGAAGATGTGTCGGATGCTGGAGCCGGTATGTATGTCAGGGTTCAAAGGAAGAGCAGGGTTCTGGGGAAGGGCAGGCTTCTGGGGAAGGGCAGGGATCTGGGGAAGGAAGAGCAGGGTTCTAGGGAAGGAAGATCAGGGTTCTGGGGAAGGAAGATCAGGGTTCTGGGGAAGGAAGAGCAAGGTTCAGGGGAAGAGCAGGGTTCTGGGGAAGGGCAGGCTTCAGGGGAAGGGCAGGGATCGGGGGAAGGAAGAGCAGGGTTCTGGGGAAGGAAGAGAAGGGTTCTGGGGAAGGAAGAGCAGGGTTCTGGGGAAGGAAGAGAAGGGTTCTGGGGAAGGAAGAGCAAGGTTCAGGGGAAGGGCAGGGTTCTGGGGAAGGGAAGGGTTCTGGGGAAGGGCAGGGTTCTGGGGAAGGAAGGGCAGGGTTCTGGGGAAGGAAGAGAAGGGTTCTGGGGAAGGAAGAGCAGGGTTCTGGGGAAGGAAGAGAAGGGTTCTGGGGAAGGGCAGGGTTCTGGGGAAGGAAGAGCAAGGTTCAGGGGAAGGAAGAGCAAGGTTCAGGGGAAGGGCAGGGTTCTGGGGAAGGAAGAGCAAGGTTCAGGGGAAGAGCAGGCTTCAGGGGAAGGGCAGGGTTCTGGGGAAGAGCAGGGTTCTGGGGAAGGGCAGGGATCTGGGGAAGGAAGAGCAGGGTTCTGGGGAAGGAAGAGAAGGGTTCTGGGGAAGGAAGAGCAAGGTTCAGGGGAAGGGCAGGGTTCTGGGGAAGGGCAGGGTTCTGGGGAAGAGCAGGGTTCTGGGGAAGGGCAGGGTTCTGGGGAAGGGCAGGGTTCTGGGGAAGGAAGAGAAGGGTTCTGGGGAAAGAAGAGCAGGGTTCTGGGGAAGGAAGAGAAGGGTTCTGCGGAAGGGCAGGGTTCTGGGGAAGGAAGAGCAAGGTTCAGGGGAAGGAAGAGCAAGGTTCAGGGGAAGGGCAGGGTTCTGGGGAAGAGCAGGGTTCTGGGGAAGGGCAGGGTTCTGGGGAAGGGCAGGGATCTGGGGAAGGAAGAGCAGGGTTCTGGGGAAGGGCAGGGTTCTGGGGAAGGAAGAGCAGGGTTCTGGGGAAGGAAGAGCAAGGTTCAGGGGAAGAGCAGGGTTCTGGGAAAGGAAGAGCAGAGATCTGGGGAAGGACAGGGATCACGGGAAGAGCAGGGTTCAGAGGAAAGGCAGGGATCTGGGGAAGGGCAGGCTTCAGGGGAAGGGCAGGGTTCTGGGGAAGGAAGAGCAGGGTTCAGGGGAAGGGCTGGGGAAGGGCAGGGTTCTGGGGAAGGAAGAGCAGGGATCTAGGGAAGGACAGGAATCACGGGAAGGGCAGGGTTCAGGGGAAGGGCAGGCTTCAGGGGAAGGGCAGGGTTCAGGGGAAGGGCAGGGTTCTGGGGAAGGAAGAGCAGGGATCTGGGGAAGGACAGGGATCATGGGAAGGGCAGTGTTCAGGGGAAGGGCAGGCTTCAGGGGAAGGGCAGGGATCACGGGAAGGGCAGTGTTCAGGGAAAGGGCAGGGTTCTGGGGAAGGGCAGGGATCTGGGGAAGGGCAGGCTTCAGGGGAAGGGCAAGGATCTGGGGGAGGGCAGGGATTTTGGGAAGGGCAGGGATCTGGGAAAGGAAAAGCAGGGTTCAGGGAAACAGCTGACTTGGATACATAGTCAATTTCTGGATACAAATAAGTGTCCTCTCAGCCAGGTTTTTATTATCTTGCTGCAAATATTGGAAAACTTCAAGAATACCTAACAAATATGAACAAGGAATATTAGATGTCACACAGACACACGTGCAAACCCCATTTCAACCCACCTCCGTCTTTAACAAACATTTGCAGGCCGAGGGAGAGGAGGAGGTCCTGGTGGCCGGGGACCCTGAGAGGAAGCACATTGAGCTGTGTACCCGCAGGGGAGGAATACCGTACCACCCTAATCAGATCCAGTTCGGGGTATGTGCACAATTTTTAATCCTTGAAATGTCTACCTAAATGCCCTTGTTTTGAATATGTTCACCACACATACTGGCGATGTATCAAATCCAAGCTGCACTACCACTGGAATCTTCACCAAATACCAGATGTGCAAACAGGCTGTTTTCTTCTCCTAGCCTTTTGTTCTTTAAACATTAGCTGTAGTGAACAGTTAGTGAATATTGTTTTATGCCACAGTGAACACTATTCCAGCTGTTATGTCAGCCTCCTCACCATCACACCACATCTCGAGGAGACATTCTCCCTCACCATCACGCCACATCTCGAGGAGACGTTCTCCCTCACCATCACGCCACATCTCGAGGAGACGTTCTCCCTCACCATCACGCCACATCTCGAGGAGACTGTCCATCTCTCACGTTTCATTTCCGGAGCAGAACTCAAAAACCATGTGAGATATCTTAACCAAACTTGGCACATAGATAGGTCAAGTGGTGAACTGGTGCCTTTTGATAGTTTGGGATTTTCAAAAAAACATTTTTTGAGTTTCCATAGCAACAACTTTGACAGACTGAAAATGGCGGTAGTGGTCCTTTCCGGAGCAGATCTTGCACACAACCGGACATGTCATATTGGCGGGGGATATGTGTAGGATCTAAACCGCGCCCGAGGTTTTGTTTGGGAAGTATGCCCGCGGAGGAGGGAAAGGGGGGGAGGGCCGACAGGCCCGACCCCCTTTCCCGAGGCCAAGGGCATACTTCCCAAACAAAACCGAGGGCAAGTTTTTGATCTCACTTATGAACTAATCAAATAATATGATTTAGAAATAATTTTACTAATTGGTATTAACATGACTTCATTGATATTTACTGTTGAGAGTTTAACTGCAATACGCGGGGAGTACATCCGCGCGCTGCACGTGACGCACGTGCTTCAGGCCTGTTGTAACAATGAGCGCACGTGGTTCAAGCCAGTCGAATGAATTCCACTGAAGAGGATGGACGCAGACAACAACAACGATATATTTCTGACGCAGTCAGTTTTTAAAGAATCGGCATCCTGTGCTGAAGAAGACAAGGAAAGTGATGACTTTAAATTCCGTTTAGGAGATCCACTCTCCGAGCGTGAAATAACCTTACAAGTTACCGTCAAAAGACTGTGCAAGACGTCCGGTATTGAGGGCATGAAGATAAACCATTCCTTGAGAGCCACGGCAGCCACTCGATTGTATCAAGGTGACGTTGATGAACAAATGATTTGCGAAATTACCGGTAGGTTCATAAACATTTTAGTCCTGCAGTAATAAGAAATTGTTATTCAGCAAAAGTCATAACATATCAAAGAAATATTTTTTCCAAACCAGTAAGATGCTCTTTTTTATTTATGATATATATGGTAATATTGGTGTTTTTGGAATCTGTTATAGTTTTTAAGTGTATTTGTATGCTGTATGTGTAATACTTTCAGTAATCTGAACAATTTGTTTCAGGACATCGGAGCGACGCCGTTCGGAATTACAAGAGAACTTCTGACAACCAAAAGGCAACGGTCTCTGACATACTTAGTATACTCTGACATACTTAGTATGAACTTGCCATCACGTGAAGAAGCTAATCCGAAAAGAGCAGATGACCAATGACCTGAAGACAAACTAAATCGAACTGTGACGCTCAATTTCAATTTCAACTTATATCAATAAATAGTTGAACCATGTTCTGTTGTTGTTTTTTCATGCAGAAAGGTAATTCAATACAGAGGGTATTCTTCGGGACAAAAACCAGGCTTTCAGTAGAAAATCTCCCGGGATTTCTTGCAGAAAGCCTGGGGCTTACCCTGGGAATGCCCGGTAAAGTACCAGTAGAGGTTTAGTCGGTAAAAGAAGACCCTGTCGAGACAATAGAGTGACGTCACTAGAGGTTTATAAGAGTATTTCATGCTTGTTTCAGATTGATCTGTCCAAGAAGCTTGGTGTGAAACAAATGCAGACAGTGTAGACTCTTCAAGATACTCCGACATGAACCACAGCTAGGAACATCAATACAATAACTACTGAGGCTGGGACGGGTAACTCGGGTACTCGAGTCAGATGGGTACTCAGTAGGATCCATGTACCCACAGGAGTACCCGAACCCGTGGTTAGTCATGTGATTATATTGTTTAATGGCAAACATTATCTAGAAGTCAATGGTTGCACTATAAGGGACAAATGTTCCTATTTCTTTGTGACTATGCACCAATTCCTTCTGACTTAATATGTTTGCATAAAGATAAAGCTTCAGTCAACTTTAGTGTATGCATGACCAGATCGGATTATACGTGTATCTAAATACATTTGGACAGGAATGCTGTCAGACGTTTCCCCATCGGACATTTTGTACCTATCTCTTGAGACCTACAGCGGGTATCCGGGAAGGGTCGGGTAAAAGAGGGACGGGTACCCGGGTAGTAAATTTGGACTCGTCCCAGCCCTAATAACTACGTTTATGGATATGGTTGATATTACCCAGAGCAGATTAACGTGTGGATGACGTGAAGAGGAAACATAAGACATCCATAAGATTTATACTCAACTGGTCTTACCTCAAATGTGCTCAGCTGGTTTAAAATAACAATTCTCATATTTTTTCATTGATGAGGTTAATGTAAAGAATAGTGTGGAATCAGCGAGAAATGAATAATGCCAATATGTTCTGTGTGGTAACTTCACTACAGTCCACTACAGTCCCGATGTGTACATCTGGGTTCCTGCCATTGTGAGTTGCTACTGCCAGAGTTTTCAGCATCCTGGTGCAAGAAAGTAACCTTGTTGTGTACACCACTGCAGTAGCAGGACCATGTGAAATATCGTCTTCCCGAGGCAAGAGCGCCCACTTGCCTTTTTATCAAATATCAAAGCTTGGTTTCGACCCTTGCCACATCAAGCCCACTTTCCTGGGCTAAATATGATTGAACTATCGCACATATCGATAGTCCAATCAGAGAAGTTTCACAAAATCAACATCCACGACTGGGACACCTTCGCATGAAAGTGATTTACAACTGCCTGTCTTTGTTGACACGTCTTTTTCATCCCCCCAACCACCCAACCCTCAACGATTGCCTATGTGTCAGGGATGAAATCGTGAATGTTTTCGTCATCTGATCAACTAGGTCGTCATCAATGGTAGTCCCCATCTTTGTGAAAATAGTCGAGAAAAAAACAGTGATCTGGATATCGCACAAGGGGCACAACTCGTGATGTGGCACCAGGGTCAACCAAGAAAAGTGGCCTTGATGTGGCAAGGGTAGAAACTAGGCTTTGATATCGGCTAGTGGACACGCTTGCCTCGGGAAGATGGTGAAATATGTGTATGTTTTTACTTGAAACTAGATAGACAGGGAGGGCTGGCTTAGCTCCTTAATTATATACTCCACAAATGTTTTGAATATTTTGAATACAAAGTCTACAAGTGTTTTCTGACTGTTGTTTTTATGTAGATATAGTAAACTGTTGATTCACCATCTTATGACATAAAATGGCTGATATCCTGAAGCAAAGCTCCTTCAGAAACCCACTGCAGTTAACCGTGTGTTCAGAGATGTTCCTTCGCCATGGCTGGAAATATTGTGGACATGTCTTGTGATGTTTGATGTCTGTCACACATGTGCTTTCAACTAAGTAAGTTTATGTGCCATGCAGGCTGGTTAGAATCCATCTTCAGCAACCCATGCTTGCAGTAAAAGGTGACTATGCTTGTTGTAAGAGGCGACTAACAAGATCGGGTGGTCAGGCTCGTTGACTTGGTTGATGCATGTCATCGTATCCCAATTACGTAGATCGATGTTCATGATGTCAATCACTGGATTGTATGATCGAGACTCGATTATTTACAGACCGTTGGCATATAGCTGGAATTTTGCTGAGTGCAGTGTTAAACATCAAACAAACAAACAAAAAAGGGAAAGTGTTACACCCTATCAGCCCAAAGGTAAAGTTCGAAATGGTGATTTCCTACTTGTCCAGCAGCATTCGTCAACACTCGCCCCTTTTCGTAACCTACAAGAAGACTCGTCCCCCTATCGATGAATGTTATGTGAGAAAATATGACAAACCAATCAGAATGCGCGTATGATTTCAAGTTCTTCGTCAAAGAATCCCTCAGAAATAATTTTTGATTGTGCTCCAGATGTGCTTTAAATTGTGCTTTAAATCTGAAATATATATAATATATTGGGAAAATGTGTGAACCATTACGCAACGAGTTGACAATTGTTTTAGGTATGCCCGTTTACGCTAAGACGGAACCTGGTCGCAAACATGGCCACGAGAGGGGCATGAGTCGCTATTCGGCTTGTCCAGGGATAACACAAGTTGGTCAAGAATGGTCCAGCAGCTGGCCAAGGGATAATCCCCATCATGTTTATTTAAGCTGGGGGGTGGGTGCGCCATCTGTAGGTTGAATTTGTATCTATAGCAATAGGTGGTGGACAGGTTTTGTTTGTTTATTTGTTGTGTAACGCCGCACTCAGCAATATTCCAGTTATCTCAGTATCTGACGGCGGTCTGTAAATAATCGGGTCTGGACCAGACAATCCACTCATTGACATCATGAGCATCGATCCACGCAATTGGGATACGATGACATGCTTCAACCAAGTCAGCAAGCCTGACCACCCAATCCCGTTAGTCGCCTCTTACGACAAGCATAGTTGCTGAAGACCTATTCTACCCTGGATCTTCACAGATGTGGTGGACACATAGAAATGTCTTATTGTGTTTGATGGTTTGCCAGCTTGTTATCATTATTTGTTGGGTTTTGCAAGATATTAGTCCTATTTCCTGTCACCATTCCAAAATAGTGGAGCTAAAGCTTAAGATAGTATTTTATTACAAAGGTAAATCCATGTAACCTATACAATAAATACGATATGATCAACAAAAAATACACAAACATATCAATAAAACATGTCAGATCATTAAAGTCCAGAATAAATTTCAAATATGACCTGCTAAAAAACAGTTCCTGGAAAACAACATGTCATATCTGTGTTGGTTTTCTTCACCAAGTTCCTGATGATTATCACTCGTGTATTTTTCTGCTTTTGGCTCTACTGCTGTGACTGAGCGCTAAGACTGCGTGGAGAACGGCGAATGTTGACAAGACCACGGTGGTCACACCTTCATACAACAACTTGGGGGAGAAGACCGTCCACACAAACAGGTGGTACCTCTCCACGGTCACCAGCACACAATACACGGACAGGGGAAGAGCTCGGGACATCATCACCGTCACTGCCGCCTCCTGGTGGCCAACTCTCAGTCTGAAAACAGACAACAGAGAACACTGAAGCACGTCTCCTTGTGAATATACTGTATGTGCCTTAGAAACATTCCATTTGCTAATGCTGGGGACCCCCTCCGTGGTCTAGTGGTATAGTCCGCCCAGAGAGTGGAAGGCGTGGGGTTCGATCCTCAGCCGCGTCATACCAAAAGATGTTAGAAGATGGTACTTGTTGTTACCTTATCTGACGTTTGGCATTAATGGGCAAACACAAGGACTGGTCGGCTCAGAGTCAGTATACTGTGTCTGAGGGGGGTATTCATGTTACACTTCAGCCTGGTATCTCAGTGTGCTAGCACTATAAAATCGGTGTCAGTCCGAACTAGTACATGCAGCCACACACACACACACAAAAAGTGCAATAATCTTGAATGCGATGTAAAACCCCCTTTTCACCCCACTTCACCTAATGTTGGGAAGGTTTGGAGATGAAAGGCCCATGGAAAGAAACAAAAAATACTTTGGTATATAAATTACAAGTTAATGAAGGTTCCTCTAATATTGTTTTAAATTCTACGGGGCGGTCGGGTAGCCTAGTGGTTAAAGCGTTCGCTCGTCACGCCGAAGACCCGGGTTCGATTCTCGACATGGGTACAATGTGTGAAGCCCATTTCTGGTGTCCCCCGCTGTGATATTGCTGTAATATTGCTAAAAGCGGCGTAAAACCATACTCACTCACTCACTTTAAATTCTACACTTAAAACTTTATTTGCAGTTTTCTAATGGGGCCTTGGGGTAGCATATATGTTTGATTCCCCACATTTCTTCAAGAGGACAATTCTTTCAATACGTAGAAACACAGAGTAAAAGGACATGTTCAGTATTGCAGTGACGTTATTTTCACTTACACCCCTGCATGTTTGCATAATAAAGAATAGTTACTTGTTAGTCCTGGAAACGTCATCTAAGTTGACGTCCATCGTGCTGATGTATTTGAGGAGTGAGACCATCCAGAAGATCGGTCCAGCGTAGGTGGAGAGACACATCAACAGACCAATGAGGAGAGGGTGGTAGTCATGGAGACCCACGTAGCCGGCCGCCACGTCCACTGTGGTCAGGCTGTTGGAGTTGCCCTGCGGATACAGACAGATTTTACTGAAGAGAGGGTTCCATTCCACAAAGCGATCTTAGCACTACGACAATCATAACACCCTTACTTTAACACAGTGAGTGAGTGAGTGAGTTGGGTTTTACGCCGCTTTTAACAATATTCCAGTTATATCACGGTGTGTCAGCTTAATGTGGGAGGAAAGCCCGAAGGGATGCAGGTCTCAGACGTTTACCACTTCGGTGAAACCCACGAGCATGGGTATGGTGCTGACAAACCTAGAAACATAACTGGGGCGAACCGGGATTCGAACCCACAATCATAGGTTTCTGGCGTGCCCAAGGGACGCAACTCTGCACAGCGAATCGCGACGACTGGGCCACCCGTGCCCCCTACTTTAACACAGACTTAGGACAGTTGTAGTGCTATGATCACTTTGTGGAATGGGACACTGGTCACGTATGCATGCCAGTAGCATAGCATTGGTTTGAATTTCAAGGTTGATCATTGGTATGAAAAATGAATGAGAATAGCACAAGTGTATGTTTTAAGCTTTCTTTCACAGTATCCATGATGTGAACATATGCAAGCTTTTGAGGTTCATTTCCTTTATCATAATGGGAAGATGTTTCGAAGGGAAAAAGCAGACAGATAAAACTGTTTCTGTTGGTTATATTTACCAATATTTGAATATAAAGGTCAGAAAGGTACTGCTTTCAGTAATGTGGTAATATAAACAAATATGGCATCAGCGATCACGTCCGAATTGATGAAAATCGGTCTTGAAAAGGGGTGTAGCTAGGCCTTTCACAAGTGTAAGCTACTTTAGAAATATAAATTGCGAAGAAATTTAGCGAGATGGTAAGGATATCAGTTCCCACACATGTGCAGACCTCTGCAGCTTAGGGTTTTTTCCTGAAAATTATGTCTGAAATTTTATCTTCTTTCATTTTGTAGCTGTGGGGAGAAATTATTTGTAGGCAATTGTCTTTTTGCCTTCATGGTACTTGCATCACTGTATAAAAGACAAGTTTCATTTGGAATTAACGTGACTGTCGTGACTGTCGTGACTGGCTCACTGACTTACCACTGACATTGTGATGTAACGTATTCGACGTATTAAGCGCCCCGCTCTAATAAGAGCCCATGGCGATATTTGCTAATATATTGGCAAGTGAACAATCCCAATTAGCCCCCTTCCGATTGATCAATGTACACAAGACTTATTTATTCGTGTATAATATGCACTCGTGTGTTATATGCACCCTTAATTATGGGCAATTAAATTCTGGAAAAATGTATCTGTCGTATATAATCAGTTCAGACTGTTAGCATAAACCATGAAATTTATCTTTCAACTCTGTTTTTTCCACCAAAGTAATATTCTAATAAGAGCCCCCCATTTCTAATTTTGAGAGCGCCCTGGGCGCTTATTACGTCAAATACGGTAGCATATATTAATGTACATATTCCAGGAAGACTTGAGATACCTTTTATGAGAGATGAGTGAGTGAGTTAATGTTTTAGGTCACATTGGCAATAGTTCAGCCATATCGATTATGAGAGATGAAAATACTTATATTGATGATCAAATTTAAGAATGACATTAGATGATAAAGAGGTTATCACACATGTGTTTTTTGGAGGGTAAATATCCCAAAACACAGCCGCTGGATAACCTCTTTATGCTAACACACAGCTGGCAGGAAACATGAGCCTCACAACTCCACAGTATCACAATTCTGATGCTTTCTATTCAGCTTTGTGTTATTACTATACCCAAATCATAAATATGGAGTGTTTTTTCATGATAAAGGAATACAATTGATCACATATATTTAATGATTAGTACCTTGTTTCAAACCTAGAACCAAACAATTACTGATGCATCAATGTTTTTGGACAGCCATCACGAGTATCGCGAGTACCCAAACTATAACGATGGTTGTGGCGTCACACAGACATTGTAAATACGCAGACGTTGGCTTGATTTGTAAAGGAAGTTGTCTTTTAAAAGTAAGTGCGATGTTTTATGGTTGTTTTTGTGATTAGACAGAAAACTACAAATATTTCTTAAGTGTCAGAAAACCCATAACAAGCAGATAATTAAAAGCAAGAGATTTGACGAACCTGGAAGAAGAACGTCGCCTGCCCCATCCACAGACAGTACAGTGTCAGGAAGGCAGGACGCAGTTTGGTGACGGAGATCATGTGACCGGACACCAGGCTCTCTATTGCAGCCACCATGGCAACCAGTGCTGAATTGTGTGGCCGTAGCAACAGCATCATAACCAGCAGCCATATTGTCTGCAGGCTTGACCACAGGTCGGTTGTCTGGTACCCTGGCTCCCCCAGCTGGCTCCTCCATTGCCATAGCAACATGATGAGGGACAGGAGGAGGATGAAGTAGGTCAGCTGGGCTTCTGTGACGCCTCTGGGAACAGCCAATGTGTGAAGGTGTATTCTTATGTTAAATGTTGGTACATTACTATATTAAATGTTGGTACATCCCTTTCTTAAATGTTGGTACATCCAGTTATTACATGTTTTATGCTCCTAAAAATGTTGGCACATTCCTACATTAAATGTTGGTACTTCCCTTTATCAAATGTTGGTAAGTTCCTGTGTTAAATGTTGGTACATTACTATATTAAATATTGGTATAATCCTGTGTTAAAATTTGGTACATTACTATATTAAATATTGGTATAATCCTGTGTTAAAATTTGGTACATTCCCCAAAAAATTGGTACCGGTATGTCCCTATATTAAATGTTACATTCCTAAAAATGTTGGCACATTCTTATGTTAAATATTGGTACATTCCTGTGAGGAATTCCTGAATAGCGTCACCATGCATGCATGACCTTGACATGCCATGTGACTTCAAGGAAGCCACTGAGTGATACCCAAAGATCTGTTTGTTTGTTGTTCAAGCACCAAAAGATCTGAAGAAACACGTGACTAAATAGGTCAAAGCATGGTCATGTAAGACTTGTTTGGGGATTGAAATGAGCTCACGGTGGCTCACTGACCTTTAAGTGGTAGTTTACTGAAAATTCTAAAAAATGATCCAGTGGTATAATATGTCCAAGAAATACACAAAATTCTCAGAACAAATCTAAACATTCTGGTGTCTGATTTCATAATGATTTATGTAAACAAACAGCTCGTGGATGAATGCTCATGACATCAATCACTAGATTAACTGGTCTAGACCCAATTATTTATAGACCGCCGTCATAAAGCTGGAATATTGCTGAGTGTGGCATTGAAAACAATAAACAAAAAAAACACTCTTACTTGGTCATCCCTGAGTACACACCCGGGAACACAATGACACCCGTGGCAGCTTTAGAGCAGTAGGTCGATATCGCAGCCAAAATACTGCAAGATGATTGGATGAGAGATGATGATCGCCATCTGGTGGTGACAAGGCACAACATGGAGATGGCCACTACAGCTGATAAAGCCGACTTGTTCTCTGGTCTGAAACAACAGACAGACATTGAATAGCGGACGTGATGAAAGAATACATGCTTTCTCATTAGGTTCATTTCACTATTGAGTTGATATGCTGATAAATATTCTTCATTTTGATTACGTACACTACCTCAACCAAATCACATTCACAAACAGGGATTACTGGGGTAGTTTGTGATAAGGTACTTTAAGCATAATGACAGGTCAGATACAAATTTAAAATATTTATTTGAGTTTATTTAAAATGTCAGAATATAGAAGTGTCTGTCCCCCATTTACTGATGTCATCAGGATACATACATATTTGTAAGCCAGGATAAGTTGAGTTGTGACCTGACAATTAACCCTGTATGACTATGTATGAGGTCCGCCCACTGGCACATACCATTGTGAAGAGAGGGGTAGAGGGTAGGGGTCAAACGATACTGCAAGGTCACTATACGATACATATCACCATAACCCGATATGCATATTTATATCAAATTACATGAAAACTTCGTGAGTAAATATTACAGAACATGTTCCAAAGGAAAAGCTAGCTGTAAATCCATGTTCGTAGCGTCTATTTAGCAGTGAACTTAAAAAGTTAATTACAACACATTTTGCAACATCTGACTGACAAAAAACACTGTGGTGGGGTCAGTAAATGAGTAGTAAGTAATATATTTTAGCAAATGTTTCATCTTGTATCGATAGAGACAAAACCTATCGTGTATCATAAACTTCACAATGCACTGGTTCACCGTTTCACCCTAGTAGCGGGTGGTCCACGACAAGTAGAATGATGGATATGTGTGTCCTGTCTCGGCTAACAACGAGTACTCGTGGCAAGTTCAATAGCACATAAAAGTACTCTGTATTCTCATTTTGTACCTTTGGGTTTTCATGTGCTTTTGATTAAAACCAGTTTGTATTAATATTGTATTGGAAAAAATAATTGCAACTGACATATTGTTTCATCCCTATTGATAGCTGCATTAAACATTTCGTTACATCCCTATTGACAGTTGCATTGATTGCATTGATTGTCATATACCTACTGAAGTGTGATTGTGTGAGTGAGTGTGCGTGTTTAGGTAGTGGTGGGAGATCAGAGTTGCAATACCTATTTTGCATTCTATTTTATTCAAATCCAATTAACATAATCACATAGCAACCTCAAAATCTGAAATGTTGAAATTCTTGTATTTATATCATCACAGTCCAGGGCACAAAGCAATCTTAGCACTACGACTATTGTAAGCCTATGTTAAAGTGTGGGGGTTATGATCATCTTAGCACTAAGATCACTTTGTGCAAGTGGGTCCTGGTCTGATGTGTGAGGTTGATATCTCACCTGACAAGCCAATCACCGATGTCAGGAACAGTCAGCCATTTGTCTCCTGTCTGATTCCACCTCCTCAACACCCTGCATAGCATCAGCACAACAAACATGGCTGCCACTGACGTGACAGACGTCCACACCGTAATGCTTGGTGAACCACTGTCTATCTTCTCACTCTGTTTGATTATCTCATGGTAAGATGTGTCTCTGTGAGTCTTATGGCTGTTCTGATTATCTGTCGTCTGTTCATGTCTATCAAAATCACCAGCGCTCCCTGCTTTTTGACTGGCTGCTTGAGAGCAGACAGCACCAATGAGATTGCAGATGATGACAGCATGCAGGGTGATGATATAGAAGTACCATGTCTGATGTTCTTCCTCCACAAAACTGCTGGACAACAGACTGAGAGTGTGCAGCAGCGACCCTCCAATAAACACCCACTCGACACACGACATCCTTACGCACTGAAATGAGTGAGGTGAGAAAACCACAGGGGGCATTTAACTACAGCAAACTATGGTTATAATGAACTCAAAGGTACCACTAACTCTAGTTCGTTATAACCATAGTCGTTATAAGCATATATCCAGCAGACGGACAGGACCCAAACATAAGTTTGTTATAAGCATGTTCGTTATAAACATAGTATACTGTACTGCAGTAGTAAAATCATAAATTATCTTTCCACAAAGTAAATTTTCTGGTTTATTTTACATCACAGAGAGAGAGAAAGAGGGAGTGAATCTGTCTTGACACATCTTCCCGAGGCAAGAGAGTTAACTGACTTTAAAAGTCCAGTTTCCACCCTTGCCGAACTAGGCTGGAATTCCTGGGCTCGATTGTAGCGCCACCAGTGGCTATTACGAGTTATGTCCTTTCTATGCCTCTCCTAAGGACTGATCAGATTCAACCTCTCGTATCACTTGCATTTGTTTCAAACAAAACGGTGGCGCCCAATCAAGACGATCTGATTGATAATCAAAATCTATATTGTGATAAAACGAGTCTTACATCGCGAAGTGCATCAAATCACGTGAGCACCTTGATTAAAAACATGAAAATATTTAGAAAATTTCTGTTGACAACGAGTTAGCGGTGCACATGCTTTGCAAATCCTGCAGTCGACTGAAATCTGCATGACACTCTACGAACCGGATTTCGATTTCGGTGCACGATTTTGATTGGACTATGCATAGACTCGTTAGTCCAGCCAAAATGTAACTCCATAATACCAGCCTAGTTCGGCAAGGGTGGAAACTGGACTTTTATAGATGGTCTTGACACTGCAATCAGCAATATGTCAGCCAATGCACATATGTCTGCTCAGACAAACCAGTGGTCGATGGCATGAACAATGAGTCACACAGCCTGGGTACAATGGAACACAATCAGCCAGTCCTACGGCATCTCATGGGCTCTTAGGATGAGTGTGAGAAACTGAGGACCTACTCTCCTCTCATACTCCCAACAGAGTTCAACATCTCAAATTCAAACACAACCTCCATTTCCTAGATTCAGTATGTTACTTGAGAAGTGCCTGGAGATCTGAGGCAAGATAAGATCTCATGATTCTTATAGTATGATAAAACGCTGTGATATAACTGGATTACAGTTCAAAGTGGCATTAAACCAAACTCACTCAGTCACTTTTATGATGAACATTATTGGTATGAAAGTAACAAGAACGTATACGGCAGTCCATTGTAAAAACACTCATCGATTTTCTGCTTACCATAATTCTGTCTCTGTATTTGACAAAGGACATCACCAGGAACAGTGTCGCCATGACAACACCTATCATCACCATCAGCTGAATTGGAAGGATGAGGATGTGGGTCGTACACAGGAAGTCGCTGCGGAGCTGACTCGTACACATGGTCATGTGACCCAGCACAACGGGGATGCAGCAGATAAGACAAACAGCGATTCTATTGGTTGAAAGTCTGAATGTTGACATGTCCGACACAGACAACAAGAGCAGGAACAATACTATCTGGAAGGAGAAATCATTCACCCGCAATCAGAGCTCTTAGTTCTGAATTAGCTTGTATTTTACATTTAAGTCTATAATACCACTGCTTTGCTAATAACTACATAATAACTCCTGACTTAGCAACGTATACATGTTACCCGTGAAGATCAAGGTTAGAAAAGGTCACTGTGAAAGGCAACTATGCTTGTTGTAAGAGGCAACTAACGGAATCGAGTGGTCAGACTCGCTGACTTGGTTGATTCATGTCATTGTATCCTAATTGCGTGGATCGATGTTCATGATGTCAATCACTGGATTGTCGGGTCCAAACTCAATTATTTACAGACCTCCATCATATAGCTGACATATTGCTGAGTGTTGTGTTGAACAACAAACAAACACATACATGTTATATATTATGTCAAATATGTCATCTTTCCATTTACAAGTACTTCCAAGTTACATTCCTGAAGACATATTTGGTCACCAGAATGAATGTGTTCCGAGATCCATTTATATTTACATGCGATTTACATGCGAGAACTATCGATGAAACTACACGGAAACCATTCTCCCACTTACCAGACAGATCAGTACAATGCCAACCCCCATCCCGTGCAGGTCATAGTTGGTGGATGTTTCACTGACCCTTGACCTCATCTCCTGCACAGCCTTCCCATAATCCTTCACCAGACGATTACCAATCATCTCCCAAGATTCTCTTGACATGTTTGTGCTTTTCGTCTTCAGCCAATCAGAATGTCTGTTCATCACTTGCTCATAACGACGATATCCATTTTCTAGATTAAAATCATAAAGAAAAGTCGAGGTTCAGGAGGATTATTTCTAAATGTTCATCTTGCAGCATCTATAAACTAAATTACATCTTAAATTATTTATTAGACCGCTGTATTTAGCTTTGTTTTGAAACACAGTTTTCCTTTGTTGTTTCTTTGATATATAATTCACTACTACCACACCATGATTTTATCAACAGATTATTCATACAGCAGCAAATGGAAGTCAGATCAATTCTTATTATCATGAGGTGGAAGGGGGATATACAAATGGGTGCTGTCTGTCCGTCCTTCCAACCACCTTCCATCTGACCGTCCGTCATGTTTCGTTTCTAGAGCAGAACTCAAAAACCATAAGAGATATCTTAATCAAACTTGGCACATAGATAGGTCAATTGGTGAACTGGTGCCTTTTGATAGTTTGGAATTTTTTTAAAATTTATTTTTCGAATTTCCAAAGCAACGACTTTGACTTAGACTGAAAATGGTGATAGCGCTTGTTTCCGGAGCAGATCTTGAAAACGGTACAATATTACCTTGCAGACAACCGTACATGTCACATTGGTGGGGAATGAGTATTACATGCTTGCCAGTTTGATATTAGCAGCACAATTATCTCTAAGAATGTTTAATTCAGTAAGTGACTGAAAATAACTACTCATCGGCAGACTGAAGTTCAATAATTTAGCCAAATCTGACAATAATTGATCAGCTACAGGTAAGTGCGTAATTCTATCTAGACAATCAAGATCTATAGTAACTCAAATATAAAGCTGATGTCTCATAAAGGATGTCCCAATGTATTAAATGAAATCAGTTAATGGGTTATCAAACAATATCTGTGACGTGAGGTAGCAGAGGAGTGTGGTTTCAGTGCTGTATGTTTGTATTGAGTGTTACCTTTCTCCACGTCTGCTACGTTCTGCTCCAGTAACAGTGACACCTGGTGGCCATTGACCTGCATTAGCCGCACCTTGTCCTCAAGGCTGTAACCAACCAGAGTTGAGGCAACAATCTCCCCCAGGCTATTTTTAGGTATGGGGATTCCCATGAGGGCAGCCAGAGTGGGCGCAACATCAATCTGCATAATGCTTCCGGGACTAGCCATGTTCAGGGCTGGTACTGTAACAGTGAGTATTAGGAGTAAGTGTTTTACATCACTTTTAGCAGTATTCCAGCAATTTCATTGTGGAGGGGGAGGGCAACAGAAATGAGCTTCACACATTGTACCCATGTAGGAAATTGGCCTTGGGCGTCACCAGCGAATGCCTTAACCACTAGACTACACCACTGCCCAATAAATATAAAGAACACAAAACATGTGTTTCTGATAAGATATATTAAATGTTCCAGCGGTCCGGAATCATGATGCTTTTGTGATAACTTTTCAATGTAACTTGCAATCATGAAAAAAACATACAGTAAATATCCCCCAAACTACAAACTCTGGGCCAAAACTATTTTCATTTAAATTAAATTTTCTGAAATTCATCTTTCATAAACAGCGTGTTTAATTCTTTGTTTATCACAATCTGTATATTGTAGTAACCTCACTATCGTTATAAAATTATGCCATAGTGCTAGTTACCACTTATCCGTATTTCAAATGACAAAATATATCTACCCCCAGCTGGTACAGTGTCATGAAGACTGGGACTTAAGAAGATGACAGGAACAGTTGTCTCCCCTGGTGATGCCCCACCATGGCCGCCTTGATCACTCATGCCATGATCTCCACACACCATCATCAGACTTGTCAAGTCCCTCTCGTCCAACTGGAATCAATCTGGTTATTACAGCTACTTGCAAACTTATGCAAATTCTTGAGTGTACAATTTAGGCTTAAAGAAATAAAAGAATTGGTTCTCAGGCAATGGTTTCTGAAAATATAGTGAGGGCGGGCGGTGTCTTTTTTTCTTTTTTTTCGGTTGTTCGAACTAGTATGGAACCAATAAACAATTGTGAACAATCAACCCGGGAAAGGACCTCCCTACATAAATGTATTCCTTGATGAGTAAAATACTGGAATACAGTATTTGACTACCATTGGACTTGGAATATTTAAGGATTTGGTTTGTTTTTTTAAAAAATGGAAATAAAAACGAAACGTGCGGCAAACTTTATGATGCGGGCGTTGAGTTGATGTGAGTGATGATATGACACAGGTGAGTGAGGTGAGGTGAAATGGGGTTCAACATCACGTCCAAGATTATTGCACTGATATAGTGATGTGCATGTACGTGTGTGTGTAGCTGTTTTTACTAGTCTGGATTATTACAGATGTTATGGTGCTACTCCACTGAGATACCATGCCGCAGTTTAACATGAATACTCCACTCATAGACAGTATACTGAAGCCGAGCGGACCAGTCCTGTTTTAGCCCCTTAATACCAAGTGCCTGGCAGGGTAACCACCATTTAACATCTTTTGGTATGACGCGGCCGGGGATCGAACCCCCAGAAGGTCTCCGGGCAGAAGCTCTACCACTAGATGATGGAGGCGGTCAACACAGGTTAGAGCCTGGGGCCCATTTCACAAAGAGATCATAGCACTAAGATGGTTGTAAGTCTATGTTAAAGTATAGGAGTTACGGTAGTCGTAGCTCTACAATCGCTTTGTAAAACGGGCCCCTGGTACATAACAGTGAGTTAGAAAGTTGGGTTCAACAGCAAAGTTATATCACAGCTTGTCGACTTGATGTTTGTAAGAAAGCCAGAAGGGATGCTGACGTTTACCATTTGGTGAAACCCATGAGCACGGGAGAGGTGCTATCACCATAGAAACATAATCAGGGTGAACCGGTATTCAAACCAACAATCCTACGTTTCTGACACAGCTATTGGATGCAACTCTGTACTGCAAATTGCAGCGTTTTAGCCAACTCGAGGTACATAATGATTACTGCAATATCATGATGGGTGAGGTGAGGTGAAATTGGGTTTAACGTCGCGTCCAAGATTATTGCACTTATATAGCGACGTGCATGCACGTGTATGTGTGTGTGTGGCTGCTTGTACTAGTCCGGACTGATGCCGATTTATAGTGCTAGCTCACTGAGATACCATGCCGCAGTTTAACATGAATACCCCACTCAGACACAGTATACTGACTCCGAGCCGACCAGTCCTTGTTTTAGCCCCTTAATGCCGAGCGCCAGACAGGGTAACAACAAGTACAATCTTTTAACGTCTTTTTGTATGACGCGGCCCGGGATCGAACCCTGGACCTTCCGCTCTCCGGGCGGACGCTCTACCACAAGACCACGGAGGCGGTCTTATCATGATGGGTCAAATATAGACAGCCTGACCTACCCACTGCCTCATTGCTTGATACAACTTCTGCAGGACGTTGTCCATCTCAAACAGTTTGGGACTGATGAGGGGACTCCTTGGGCCATCGAGGTGACCGATGTGGTCAAGTCCGAGGTAATGGAGGACCATGACATCCCAGTCATCCAGCTTCATCTCCTCGGGGAGGTGGCGGGTCACATTCATGTCCACCTGAACACAATACACGCCACGTGAAACAACAACTTCTAAACGATGGAGATTGATTGTCCAAAACATAAAAACTCACCGACAAAAGAGTGAGTGAGTGAGTGAGTTGGGTTTAACGCCGCTTTTAACATTATTCCAGTTATATCCCGGCGTGTATAGCCCCAAGTGATGCAGGTCTCAGACGTTTACCACTTCGGTGAAACCCACGAGCACGGGTATGGTGCTGACAAACCTAGAAATATAATCGGGGCAAACCAGGATTCGAACCCACAATCATAGGTTTCTGGCGTGCCCAAGGGACACAACTCTGCACAGCGAATCGCGGCGCTTTAGACGACTGGGCCACCCGTGCCCCCCACCGACAAAAGAAGCGTGTACACCCCACATGTTGGCTAATATATAAGAATTACTCATTTTCAAGAGATATTAGATTGGTTCGATGCACAAAAAACATACTGGTATTGTTGTGTGAACCATTGCTCATGAACGCATCACGTGACTCGAGATGCACCATTTGTCTAGCGTCTTATTTGTCTTTAGAAATCACAAGCAGCATATCGTGATAAGAATACGGACACTCTGTGGTAACACTTGACTGTTAGTTTTTTCATTAAGTGGTACACATTGATAACATCTCTTCTTAACGTACATACTTCTCAACACGTTTCTATGGTTCACGTTTCTCTTGCCAGTGAGTATACAAAGGGTTGATCTTTCAAAACACCGACAAGAGTGAAAAGGTAACAGAGAAGTGACACCATACGCTCAGGCACAAGGATGACTCAGCATTACAAGTCACAAGCTAATTTGCATATCACATGCACAGAAATTTCTTGTATCTGTAAACAAACATATTTATCCTGAAATCAGTTAATTTAAGTGGAAGTCTTTCACAAGTTTCAGTGCAATCTATGGATTGTTTTATAACTGTTACAACAGATTATGATAACCGGGACAGTGAGGGGTACGACAATATATCATTACACATCAAGGGTAACGTATTGGCTCGGTATCCAAAGGTGTTTGGTGTCTGTGTAGTGAACCGATCATCATGATGGGATCTGAACTATGGACCTTCTAATGGGTTTTTTTGGTTGTTTAATGCTGCACTCAGCAATATTCCAGCTATATGATGGCAGTCTGTAAATAATCAAATCAGTACCAGACAATCCAGTGATTGACATCATGAGCATTGATCCATGGAATTGGGATACAATGACGCACATCAACCAAGTCACCAAGCCTGATCCATTTGATTAACTCTTGCAACCAGCAAAGGTAACAGAGAAGTGACACCACACGCTCAGGCACATGGATGACTCAGCATTACAAGTCACCAAGCCTGACCACCTGATCCATTTGATTAACTCTTGCAACCAGCAAAGGTAACAGAGAAGTGACACCACACGCTCAGGCACATGGATGACTCAGCATTACAAGTCACCAAGCCTGACCACCTGATTCTTTTGATTAACTCTTGCAACCAGCAAAGGTAACAGAGAAGTGACACCACACGCTCAGGCACATGGATGACTCAGCATTACAAGTCACCAAGCCTGACCACCTGATTCTTTTGATTAACTCTTGCAACCAGCAAAGGTAACAGAGAAGTGACACCACACGCTCAGGCACATGGATGACTCAGCATTACAAGTCACCAAGCCTGACCACCTGATCCATTTGATTAACTCTTGCAACCAGCAAAGGTAACAGAGAAGTGACACCACACGCTCAGGCACATGGATGACTCAGCATTACAAGTCACCAAGCCTGACCACCTGATCCATTTGATTAACTCTTGCGACCAGCAAAGGTAACAGAGAAGTGACACCACACGCTCAGGCACATGGATGACTCAGCATTACAAGTCACCAAGCCTGACCACCTGATTCTTTTGATTAACTCTTGCAACCAGCAAAGGTAACAGAGAAGTGACACCACACGCTCAGGCACATGGATGACTCAGCATTACAAGTCACCAAGCCTGACCACCTGATTCTTTTGATTAACTCTTGCAACCAGCAAAGGTAACAGAGAAGTGACACCACACGCTCAGGCACATGGATGACTCAGCATTACACGTCACCAAGCCTGACCACCTGATCCATTAGATTAACTCTTGCAACCAGCAAAGGTAACAGAGAAGTGACACCACACGCTCAGGCACATGGATGACTCAGCATTACACGTCACCAAGCCTGACCACCTGATCCATTAGATTAACTCTTACAACCAGCAAAGGTTGATGAGGACCACTTCTAACCTAAAATCACCGTGGGGGGGTCTGCGAGATAACGATGAGATCGATAATCAGAATTTTCATCGAATTATCTATATGAAATTGTTGTCATCGATAATAACTTTCATTAACTGTTGTGATATAATAAAGTTTAGATTTACCGATACAAACTTGTTATTGTCAATAATGTCAATTGTCAAAGACGGAAAGCAACTGTTTTTGTTATATCTCAAACATCCACCAAGTAATCTTTGCATAATTGTGTAACTGCTCACCATTGGAGTCAAATATATTGATTTCTGTCAGGATTTTCTTGCATACTCGCTTAAAGTTTCTTCTCAAACATTTATTGATAATTGATTGACAGTTAGCGATTATCGATCACTAAAATCTATATCGATAGCCAGCCCTAATGTATAGGGTTCTGCCACAACATGATCAATAACTAATACAGATGATGAATAGTCTACCTCAGTATAGTCCGTAACAAAGAAGGAAGTCGTGCCATCAGTCCTGAAGAAGTGTTCTGGGAACAGCTTCATCCACGTATCATCACCAAAAAACACAAGCTCCTTCTCTGCTCGCTTCAGTTGTGAGATGATGTTGTCCTCCTCCAGGGAACTGGAACCGAAGTTTAGAACAACGTCTACAAATCCTGGGATGCCACCAGTTGTTAGCGCCTACAAAGAAATTGATTATTAGCGATTTGAATCTTGGTTCCCAGTTCATGATAAAAGAGTAATCTTCACTGATACCTTATGACATGAATCATTATTCACAGATCCCATTGGTAGTTTACTCACATAAGACTCCCTATCTCAAAAGATGACTGTTAGTTCGCCTTGGTAGGGATAATGTCTCAATTTCAAACAAAACTTTCTTACATCTTCAATGAAATGAGAGGAGTTTTTGTATCTTAAGTTTTTATTTATGCTCATTTAATCAAGCTGAAAGACACAGTGTTAACTATTCTTTTGTCACGCATGTGTTGACACTGATGAAGGGAAAACATCAGATTTCTTTGGGACATGAATGGTTAACTTAATACCTCATTATTTGAATTAAAATTTTAATTGGTATTCTTCTTACTGTTCTTCAAAGGATCCTAATGTGTAGCCAGCCATAACCTGATTAAAGGGACACTAGGCTCGGCTTTTTATGCATTATTTAGCACGTTTGATTCAAGTAGCTCAAACTGATTACCGATTGTGGAGTAAATGCGGCACCTCAAAGCTTTATGATAAAGACAAGAATGATTTATGTCATAGTATACATGGTATATGTGCTTTATTCATTTATATTAATTTTGTAGATGTTTAATTTATTCATATTGCTTTGTGTAGTGGTATATATACCTTATTCATGGTTTATTCATCACCATCACTGTCACCACTTGTCTCTATTTACAATAATTCATTGGAAGCTGATAACAAAGTTCATATTGCCAATCACATCAGCAAAAACAGGACCTGTGTATTTCACGCAGTGGACGGGGAAGACTCTTCTCTATATCTTGCTACAGATAGTCCAGAGCCACAAGCATGATATGTCCATGCTTTGACCGAGGTTACATTTGCGCCAATCAGTGCTGTTTTCACTCAATGACGTTTTGCTGAAGTGCCGTTTTAGCGAAACCCATTTTAAAGTTATAGATAATGTTGCCTTTTGGTAATCTCTGACTAAATCTCTGAGCTAGTCTTTGAGCTAACCAACAGATTGCATATCTCACAATGAAGTCAATTAAGACTTGATTGATCCACATGATCATGAATGACTGTACCCATTTGGGGTCTCGACATTTCAGTAAGGACCTTAGCAAAAGTTGTTGTCATTTTTGGTAAAAATTGGCTGCCATTATTTGTTGTTGTATCCATTCCAAAGTGTTGGCTAATTATCAAATCAGCCTAGCTTCAATTTGTCAATTTAACTCATTAACCAACAACACTGCAGTTTACCGGGCACAGCTATATAGACAGACAGACAGACAGACAGTTTATTCAGTATGCAAGGCCATATGGCCCATAGTACAGTTCAGATTTAACAGATACATAAAAATCAACATGATCTTGACCATAGTACAATATATTCACCCAAGTCTAAACATGCTAAATACATGTTTCAAATACATTACTAAAGATTTAATAACTTCTTCATTGGTCGAATTCAACAAATTGATCATCAAATGATTGTCTTTGTGTGTAATATATAAATTAGGTAGAAACTTTAATCTCAACGTTTTATTTTTATATTTTTCACACATAAAAAGAACATGAAACCTTTATTCGGGGTAGTGTAACTGTTGGAGGGTGGGCCTTTGCAGTGAATGGCAGCACATGGCCATCTCTTATCATTTCCTTCAAGAATGGCATATACGTTTGAGAAGCAAGAACAAAGTCCGCCCTCAGTGCATCAATGACAACTATGATAAGTCTGTCGTAGTGTCCACTTGGTACTGAATTATCAGTATCTCCGGGCACGGCTGGGGAGTCCTCCAGTCTGGCAAAACCTTTTAGACCTTGCTTCAGAGGAAAAAATCCCTTCAGAAATACCGAGAAAGACAAAATCTGCAGTAATGCCAAACCAATAACAATGTACTCTTTCTTCGTCATTGTCAATAAGTCTGATAAAAATTTGCAATAACGCCACTAGAAGGGAAAACAGATCACTGTATAAGTTGGCTCATTATAAGTTGTGGGGGCGGCCATTTTTGTTGTAAACATCCGGTTGATTAGAAAAGTGTCATTGATATGTAAGGTGGTAACAATAGTAAATGTAAATAAGATTGTATTTGAACAGTATTTGCATATTTTGTATAAGTATAATGTTGTATCGAAAAGGAAACCAATAATATGTTCACATCCTAAATTAAATGAATTTAATGTGTATTGCAGTGGAAATTCGTATTTCGTATAAGTTTCATTCCAAATGTTTCTTCACTGATCGTCAACTTCCGGGTTTGTAAAACAAGCATGTTCGACGGATCAAGTAGTGACGATGACGGCGAATTTCGCATCAATAAAGATTATGCAGATCGATACAATAAGTGGAGGCAAGCAGAGGAGCTACAAAGATGTAACTAAACCATACTGTCTTTTGTTCTTATGAGATGTCACCATTTTCGATGAATCCGAGAAGCTCAGATCAAATGATTTCGTCCAAAAATGTTATCGTTGTGGCTGTGGCAGTGCCTACAATACAATCTACATTGTCATATGAAACAAGAAATCGGGAGTATAATCGCGATAGCGTCCCGGCCTTGAGAATCCAATACCACAACCACTCGTAAAGATCTCTGCCATAGATCAAGTCACAAGACAAGCAAACAGTTTTTGTGAGAATCCGAATCAAATATGTAAATACTTGGCACTTGTCAGAATCCATTATGACCATCAGCATGTTGGGCCTAACTCAGGGAATATGGACATTCTTACACCAGTTTTAATAGCATATGAATGAGGCCTACGGTCATATATTGTAATAATCTCTCTGACATGTTGTTCTGTTTGTTTTTCAGTGAAGGACAAATATGGTGATGTGGAAGGATCAGACTCAGACTCAGAAAGTGAAGATGAAGAAGGGGAGGTAATCACAAGTAACAGAATTGTCCTCAGCTTCTCGGATGTCTGCATCACTTTAGGCTTTCATCCCACATTAGACTGACACGCTTTGATGTAGCTTGCTCAGCAGTGACAGGATATTTTCTAATCGTGCTGCACCCATTCGTCATTCAACCTCAGCTATTCATTTTTGTTTTCAGGCACTCACTTCACATCTGGAGAAGGGTTGGCTGAAGACCCTTTCAGCCCTGAAAAACAAGGATCCAAAGATCTACCAGAAAGATGTCAAGTTTTATTCAAGTAGGTGGAAGCATATTGTTTTAGCACATGTATATCAGTACATGTTGAACATTCATGTTGTGTTTTCATTACTTGTTTGAAACACCACCACACTCAACAATATTCCAACTATAGATAAACTCAAGTCTGTACCAGACCATCCAGAGATTGTCATACTATGAGCAATGATCGACACCTTTGGGGTACGATAACATGCTATCAACTTGGTCACTGAGCCTGACCTTCTGATTCATTTTGTGCCCCATTACAACCAACATAGGTTGATAGGGAACTATTATTACCCAGAATGCCCACAGGGAAATATCTTGATTATCATTCCGATTTCATTGCGATGAACATGTGAGTGAGTAATAATTCCAACAATATTACAGCCGGGGACACCAGAAATGGGCTTCACACATTGTATCTATCGAACCAGGGTCTACGGCATGACAAGCTAATACTTTAACTACAAGGCTACCCCACCGCCCCAGAACGTGATAAATCATCCAAACATTTGAGCTGATTATCTGGCCAAAATTAATTCATTTTTTTAAGTCCCAAGTCTTTAAGCAAGAGACAAGTAAGTTTAATTACTCGCAGCTCATATGCTATTCTATATATTGCCCATAGTCCTTTTTCTGATGAAGCATAAATATAAATGCTTAGTGTAATAATTTCACCACCATCAGTGGTCAATTGGATAATACAATGTTTATTACTACTAGGCATGAAATGATTAAGTTGTAAGAGCAGTACACGGTGGCCTGATCCATTTCATCACCAAGGGGTTGCCGGCATGCAAATGCATGGATGCATTGTTCTGTATTATAGCGTGTGAAATTGAAGTAAAGAGGCTGAATTTGTTTGAGGCATCGATGTAAAAAGTGACACACTTTTCCAAACAAAGGCAGACTATCGAAGTCCAAATTGTTCAAAAACTATATCATATAAGTTAGGGCTGGGACGAGTCCAACTTTACTACCCGGGTACCCAACCCCCTATAACCTGTCCCTAACCGGGTACCCAGTGCAGGTCCCAAGCGTTGGGAACAAAATGTCTGATTGGGAATTGTTTTACGTGAGCCCTGGCAAAAACTATTTAGATACATCCCAAAGAGGCGACCCTGACTGTACATGTATCAAACAATCAAATCATGGGTACACTGAAGTTGACTGAAGCATTATTTTAATCAACCATATACAAGTCAAAAGGAATGTGTGCATTGTCAGAAAGAAATGCGAACATTAGCGACTTGTTGTGTAACCACTGAGCTAGAGTGAGTTTTTGTCATTAAACAATATATCATGTGACTAACCACGGGTCCAGGTGGTCCTGTGGGTACCCAGGTTCTATTCAGTACCCACCCGACCCGAGTTACCCATCCCAGCCCTAATATGTGTAAACAAATGGATAATGAAACATGTTAAGGTAAATGCCGAGACCGCCTCCGTGGTCCAGTGGTAGAGTGTCCGTCCGGAGAACGGAAGGTCCGGGGTTCAATCCCCAGCCACCTCATACCAAAAGATGTTAAAAGATGGTACTTATTGTTACCCTGTCTGGCGCTCGGCATAAAGTGGCTTAAACAAGGACAGGTCGGCTCGAAGTCGGTATACTGTGTCTGAGTAGGAAATTCATGTTAAACTGCGGCATGGTATTGGTATCTCACTGAACGAGCACTATTAATCGGCATTAGTCCGGACTAGTACAAGCAGCCAATAATCTTGGACGCGACGTTAAACCCAATTTCACCTCACCTGAGGTTAATGCTGAAAATCAATATTTAGAAAAGCTGAGGGTGGCACTAATAGGATGAAGACAAAAGGTAGTTTATACATCGTAAATATCCGAAGTTGCTTTTGTCCAGGTGATGAAGAAGAGAGCAGCAGCAGCAGCGGAGAGGAAAAGAAAAAGAAGGACAAACCACTGTATCTGAAGGACTATGAGAGAAAGCTGATCCTTGAGAAACAAGGGTAGGCAACTCATAAATGGAATAATCAAAATCATTTATTTAAGAACTAAATAGTTGTATTTATTAGGGTATTCTTAGTCAAAGAGCCCCATGATATTAGTATTAAGACTGATTACTACTGCTCAGGTGAAATTAAAAGAAATTTATGAATGTGGGTTGACTTCATGTTTTAATGTGAACAAAATATGCTGTTCGCATGGTTCATATGTGTGAATAATCATTCAATTATTTTATTGTGTGTGTGTCTTGTGATTCATATGAACAGTATATAAAGCAACATCTTGTTATCATGTAAGAATTGTTTGATAGGCATTACTTCGAAGTTGACGGTTGTCAAGCAAGACCTGCTTGACAATAGCATAAGGATCTATACGGAAACGTAACCTTCACAGTAATTAAAGAAGTTGTTATCCATATATTGTGTCTACTTTATCATGTTAGAGTTGTTAATTTTTTAATTGGCCTAATCTGGTGACTGACACTTGCTGTGTTCAGGGACTCCAGCAGTGAGGACAGTGACTCAGGGGAGCGGGAGCCAGACCAGACCCCCGGCTACTACAAGCAGCAGGAGCAACTCCGGAAAAGGTCAGTTACACGTCTGCTTTTTTACTCAGTTACACGTCTGCTCATTGACTCAGTTACACATCTGTTTATTGAGTCAGTTACACGTCTGTTTTTGACTCAGTTACACGTCTGCTCATTGACTCAGTTACACATCTGTTTATTGAGTCAGTTACACGTCTGTTTATTGAGTCAGTTACACGTCTGTTTATTGACTCAGTTACACGTCTGCTCATTGACTCAGTTACACGTCTGCTCATTGACTCAGTTACACATCTGCTCATTGACTCAGTTACACGTCTGTTTATTGAGTCAGTTACACGTCTGTTTATTGACTCAGTTACACGTCTGCTCATTGACTCAGTTACACATCTGCTCATTGACTCAGTTACACGTCTGTTTATTGAGTCAGTTACACGTCTGTTTATTGACACAGTTACATGTCTGCTCATTGAGTCAGTTACACGTCTGTTTATTGAGTCAGTTACATGTCTGTTTATTGACTCAGTTACACGTCTGCTCATTGACTCAGTTACACATCTGTTTATTGAGTCAGTTACACGTCTGTTTATTGAGTCAGTTACACGTCTGTTTATTGACACAGTTACATGTCTGCTCATTGACTCAGTTACACATCTGCTCATTGACTCAGTTACACGTCTGTTTATTGAGTCAGTTACACGCCTGCTTTTCGACTTAGTTACACGTCTGCTCATTGACTCAGTTACACGTCTGTTTATTGAGTCAGTTACACGCCTGCTTTTCGACTTAGTTACACGTCTGCTCATTGACTCAGTTACACGTCTGTTTATTGAGTCAGTTACACGCCTGCTTTTCGACTTAGTTACACGTCTGTTTATTGACTCAGTTACACGTCTGCTTCTTGCCTTCATGTGTTCCCCATTATGTTTCCCTTGAGTTGATGACTTGGCCAAGCTTGGTCCGATATGTTAACAGTGTTATTGAAGTTATTCTAAACACTGCTGTCATTCTGTTGCAGAATTTCATTGCACCACTATTGCAGCGCTTTTATTTGTGATAGAATGACCTCTACCTCCCCCCATAAGTTCCTGACATTGTGTGTCATGGTGCCAGAACCAATCATGTCCTCCATTTCATTGGTTATTTGAGTAGCTCTGATTGTAGTTCCGTGGATGAACTTGTTCTCAATAGACACCCACACGTCTCTTGGAATCAGGTGAATTCAGAGTCTGTATACAGTAGTACTGTCAACGCAACATCCATGCGGTACCTCAAGGAATCAATGTGCCAGATTATTTATTGAATATCAAAAAGTAATCTTCTTACTATTGTGATGACTGTCAGTGGTTTTCTTTTGTCATGTATATTTCATCGCATCTATCGAAAGTCACATCTCTTGAGTGTGTTTCAGCATTGCTGCAGCAGTGGATGGGTCAAGTGACAGTGATGAGGATCTGCTGACACACAGGGTCAAGACACAGGAAGAGGAGGTGTGTACCATTTCTGGTGTCCCCCGCCGTGATATTGCTGGAATATTGCTAAAAGCGGCGTAAAACTACTCACTCACTCACTGTGCATAGTTATGTCCCTTAGTCATACCAGGATGTGCTGTTATGGTTATGGAAATGTATATCGTCACTTTTATTGTCACAAGAGTTGACTGAAATAAGGACCAGGGTGCCGTTGTACCAAACGATCTTAGCGCTAAGATGATCGTAACTCCCATACTTTAACATAGGCTTACGATAGTCTTAGCGCTAAGATAGCTTTGTGCAAGTTGTCCCAGGTGGTTACAATGCAGGGCTGGGACGATACACAGACTGTCTGATCTAATACATACCATGATACCTTGCTCACGATCCGATATGTAGCACGACACTTGCATATGCTCTTAGTCTTATCTGTGGTGAGTTAGCCATCTTTTTAGACGGGATGGTCAAATACCTGGCACACTCACAATTTACAATTGGCAGGGTTGGGTATGACACAATGGAGGAAAATATTTACGTTGTCACTACTCTGTTTCACTGGTAATTAGTGTTTGGTGTAACATTTATTAAAGAATACATTTAAGGTAAGAATCGATACTTGTATCGAGAAGTAAAAAATCGCGATCAACCTATGCATCGGTGTATCGTCCCACTACTATTACAGTGTGGGACCTGGCTGATTGTGTGTCATTGTTTACAACAACAATCACTTGCTCACTAATGTTCATCCACTGTGTCCAGGAAGATGAGGATACGGAATACCTTTCATGGCTCAAAGGTCAGAAGAAGACATTGAAGACACACCAAGCCGTGAAGGAGGACCTGGTGAGATATTTATCTGACCACTAGTTTCAAGAACACTAAGTCCCAGACGAATTCTGCAATTCCATGAGTGCAGAAAGATTTGCAGAAAATGTAACCTACAGCAGAATTCCTGAAAAATTGCAGAATTTGCCTTTTGTTATCAGTACACTAACTTTCATTATGTTCAAGCTTTTCTGTTGAATTTTTTGCACTCGAATGATGCCCAAACATTTAACATGTGAATGAAACATATGTACGGATCCTACAATAACACAAAATTTCAAATGAATAATTCTCACTTTTAAACGTTCTTGTGGTATTATGACTACATTAACTATGTATATATCTAATATACAAAACATAAGTAAATATCAGTGACACTATGCGTATTGACTTGCATAATTGTGTGTCTTATCTAATGATAGTTGTTTATGATGAACTATTATTTCGTTTCGGATTTGGATTTTAGTTTTCACAGAATGAGTTTGAGATATTTTTGGAGGGGGAAATGGGTATGTTAAGACTGCAGAATTTTGTTATTTAAGCATCAGAATTCGTCTCGGACTGAACGTGTGCGGCTTCAGATGAAATACTTGCCTGATCGCTAAGTTTAATGAGGGATGTATGTGTTCCAGAAATAATTAAAATAGGTTTCTTGCCAATGTCAACCATCTTATTTAGTTTTGTGACAGGGCCAACTGAGACAGGCAGGGGTGTGACCCTTAAGGTTGTAGTGGCACATTTGGGTGTTATCTTGTGGAGGAATCCAACCTGGGTCAGAATTGTGTGAGTTTTATTACCTGCTGTTATATAACCGTGTGATTCACACGCTGGCTGGTTGTTCAGGAGCCTCTGAGGAAGTACTGGAATGATCCGGAACTGGACGAGGGCGAGAAGTTCCTGAAGGACTTCATTCTGAACAAGAGATACGTCGACAAGGATGCAGAAAGGTAGGGCATTGTGGAGTTGGTGGATGTAGATGCAGAAAGGTAGGGCATTGTGGAGTTGGTGGATGTAGATGCAGAAAGGTAGGGCATTGTGGAGTTGAGGGATGTAGATGCAGGAAGGTAGGGCATTGTGGAGTTGAGGGATGTAGATGCAGAAAGGTAGGGCATTGTGGAGTTGAGGGATGTAGATGTAGGAAGGTAGGGCATTGTGGAGTTGGTGGATGTAGATGCAGGAAGGTAGGGCATTGTGGAGTTGAGGGATGTAGATACAGGAAGGTAGGGCATTGTGGAGTTGGTGGATGTAGATGCTGGAAGGTAGGGCATTGTGGAGTTGAGGGATGTAGATGCAGGAAGGTAGGGCATTGTGGAGTTGAGGGATGTAGATACAGGAAGGTAGGGCATTGTGGAGTTGAGGGATGTAGATACAGGAAGGTAGGGCATTGTGGAGTTGAGGGATGTAGATGCAGGAAGGTAGGGCAGAGTAGAGTTGAGGGATGTAGATGCAGGAAGGTAGGGCAGAGTAGAGTTGAGGGATGTAGATGCAGGAAGGTAGGTCATGCTAGAATAGTCCTATGAATCTGTTGACAAATATTGAGGAATTGAAAAGTACATAGTTACCGTATTCGACTTCATAAGCGCCCTGGTCGCTTATTATGTCAATACGATAAATGATTTCCTTTCTTTCTACTAACCAAGGATTCCTACCTATGATGAGATAGTGGATGACAGTGATGATGTCTCAGACGAGGAACAAATAGAAATGCAGGAGAAGTTTGAGAGGAAGTACAACTTCCGTTTTGAGGAACCGGGCGCTGATGATGTGAGTCTTTAGGGGGATCATGCTTTGTCACGGCTTCAACAGTGAGAATCGAGCAATAATGCCCAGTAGGCAACATGTATTGTCCGGCCGCTTTACAACCCCAGGCAGCCATGTTACAAGTTTGGTGGGGCACGGGTGGCCCAGTCGTCTAAGTCGCCGCCATTCTCTGTGCAGAGTTGCGTCCCTTAGGCACGCCAGAAACCTATAATTGTGGGTTCGAATCCCGGTTCGCCCCGATTATGTTTCTAGGTTTGTCAGCACCATACCCGTGCTCGTGGGTTTTACCAAAGTGGTAAACGTCGGAGACCTGCATCACTTCAGGCTTTCCTCCCACGTTAAGCTGACACGTCGTGATGTAACTGGAATACTGTTAAAAGCGGTGTTAAACCCAACTCACACATTACAATTTTGGTTAAATAAAAGGAAGAAAATGTAGGGATGTCAATGTTATAGTTTTGGGAAAATGGCTTGTTTAGATAACAAATATAGAGACGCTGTGATGTACAGGTTAGGTTGAACAGGGCCAGGTCCCAGTACTGCAGGGCTTAGGTGCCAGACGTAATGTTTGTTGAGAGTTTTACACTAGAGGTCCTTTTTTGATTTGTTGTTGTTTTATCTTTGTATCAATTTTGTATAATATGACAAAACTTTTGTAAACCATCCCAGATCAAAAGTTTTCCGCGGAGAATTGATGACTCTGTGAGAAGAAAAGACAACAAGAGAGCTGATCAGAGAGTAGCTAAGCAAAGCAGGAAAAAGCAGGTATGAGAACAACTTCCTGTGTGCAAGGTTAACTCAAATTGACATCTACAAACACTCATGGACTGTTCTATGAATTTTAGTTGGTATATTTGGTTGATGCATGTCATCCTATCCCAATTGTGTGGATCAATGCTCATGTTGTCAATCTCTGGATTGTCTGGTCCAGACTTGATTATTTACAGACCGCCGTCATATAGCTGGAATATTGCTGAGTGTGGCGTTAAACAACAAACAGAACAGATTTGGTTGTATTTGTATGAATACACTTAGAAATGTGATATAAGTTGACATATAGCATCAATTTCCAGGTATGAAGCAATAATCTGAGGTCGAAACAAGCAAAAAGTACAGTTTAATGATTATTTATTGAGTCTGTAGATGGTTCCTCTTGTATAGGAATTAATTAATAAAGGTTTGATCAAGCAATCGGACACAATACTGACAGTATTAACGATTGCTAAAGGAACAGAGGAATGTTGTTGATTGCAAGAATTACCCCCCTTGCAGGAGAAGGATCATCGGCTTGAGGAGCTAAAACAGCTGAAGAAGATGAAGCGTCAGGAGATTGAACAGAAGATTGAACATCTCCGTGACATCACCGGGAACAAGGACATTGGCTTCAGCTCGGCTGACCTGGAGGGAGACTTCGACCCCCAGGAACACGATCGCATGATGCAGGTCAGTGAGATTAGGTGTGTTCATTGTGACAGGGATGGATACTTCTATGTCGACGCTGAGAGACGCATGCTAAATCAATATGAAATGTGAGGGTTGTTGACAGATATAAGAGGGTAGCAGGCATCAATCAGTTAGTTAGCGTCAGACTACCGTAGGGGGACATACCCATACTCTCAGCCAATTAGAATTAGCATTAGCATTAGATATTTAGTTTCTTTCATTGAAGTTTATTTGTACTTTCTTCATTAATTAAGAGAATCACGTCTAGGTCCTTGTAGATCCTTCATAGTTTAGTAACAGGTTATCACGTTTAGTTTCTTGGTCATTTACAGGTAAGTCATTCAAATTTAGGCTTTAAAAAATTGGTTCTCAGGCAATGGTTTTTTTTAATATAGTGCAGGCGGGTGGTGTCATTTTTTCTTCTGTTTTGGGGGGTGGGGGTGTGTTCAAACAAGTATGTAACCAAATAAACAGTTGTGTAACCAGATAAACAATCAACCTAGCAAAGGGCCTCCCTACATAAATGTATTCCTTGATGGATAAAATATTGGAATACAGTATTTGACTACCGTTGGACTTAGAATATTTAGGGATTTTTTTACATTAATTTCCTAACTACATGAACTACTTATGAAACTTTACAAGTTTGTTCAAATTTATGTAAATATTGTTCGAAATAGGAAAACAGATGCCTGAATATTGTGTTCCCTACAGAGGCCTGAATATTGTGTTCCCTACAGATGCCTGAATATTGTGTTCCCTACAGATGCCTAAATATTGTGTTCCCTACAGATGCCTGAATATTGTGTTCCCTACAGATGCCTGAATATTGTGTTCCCTACAGATGCCTAAATATTGTGTTCCCTACAGATGCCTAAATATTGTGTTCCCTACAGATGCCTGAATATTGTGTTCCCTACAGATGCCTGAATATTGTGTTCCCTACAGATGCCTAAATATTGTGTTCCCTACAGATGCCTAAATATTGTGTTCCCTACAGATGCCTGAATATTGTGTTCCATACAGATGCCTGAATATTGTGTTCCATACAGATGCCTGAATATTGTGTTCCATACAGATGCCTGAATATTGTGTTCCCTACAGATGCCTGAATATTGTGTTCCATACAGATGCCTGAATAGTGTGTTCCCTACAGATGCCTGAATATTGTGTTCCATACAGATGCCTGAATAGTGTGTTCCATACAGATGCCTGAATATTGTGTTCTATACAGATGCCTGAATATTGTGTTCCCTACAGATGCCTGAATATTGTGTTCCATACAGATGCCTGAATAGTGTGTTCCCTACAGATGCCTGAATATTGTGTTCCCTACAGATGCCTGAATATTGTGTTCCATACAGATGCCTGAATATTGTGTTCCCTACAGATGCCTGAATATTGTGTTCCATACAGATGCCTGAATATTGTGTTCCCTACAGATGCCTGAATATTGTGTTCCCTACAGATGCCTAAATATTGTGTTCCCTACAGAGGCCTGAATATTGTGTTCCCTACAGATGCCTGAATATTGTGTTCCATACAGAGGCCTGAATATTGTGTTCCCTACAGATGCCTGAATATTGTGTTCCCTACAGAGGCCTGAATAGTGTGTTCCCTACAGATGCCTGAATAGTGTGTTCCATACAGAGGCCTGAATATTGTGTTCCATACAGATGCCTGAATATTGTGTTCCATACAGATGCCTGAATATTGTGTTCCCTACAGATGCCTGAATATTGTGTTCCCTACAGATGCCTGAATAGTGTGTTCCATACAGATGCCTGAATATTGTGTTCCATACAGATGCCTGAATATTGTGTTCCCTACAGATGCCTGAATATTGTGTTCCATACAGATGCCTGAATATTGTGTTCCCTACAGATGCCTGAATATTGTGTTCCCTACAGAGGCCTGAATATTGTGTTCCTTACAGATGCCTGAATAGTGTGTTCCATACAGATGCCTGAATATTGTGTTCCATACAGATGCCTGAATATTGTGTTCCATACAGATGCCTGAATATTGTGTTCCCTACAGATGCCTGAATATTGTGTTCCCTACAGATGCCTGAATATTGTGTTCCCTACAGATGCCTGAATATTGTGTTCCATACAGATGCCTGAATATTGTGTTCCATACAGATGCCTGAATATTGTGTTCCCTACAGATGCCTGAATATTGTGTTCCCTACAGATGCCTAAATATTGTGTTCCCTACAGAGGCCTGAATATTGTGTTCCATACAGATGCCTGAATATTGTGTTCCATACAGAGGCCTGAATATTGTGTTCCCTACAGATGCCTGAATATTGTGTTCCCTACAGAGGCCTGAATATTGTGTTCCTTACAGATGCCTGAATAGTGTGTTCCATACAGAGGCCTGAATATTGTGTTCCATACAGATGCCTGAATATTGTGTTCCATACAGATGCCTGAATATTGTGTTCCATACAGATGCCTGAATATTGTGTTCAATACAGAGGCCTGAATATTGTGTTCCCTACAGATGCCTGAATATTGTGTTCAATACACATTGAACAAAAGGGAAATGCCAACATGGTTGTTTGCAGAAAATATTTACTTTTTGGTGACTGAAAAGTAATGAGGTTGTGCATTTGTTGCAGCAATACTTCGCTGATGAATACTATGGGGAGGAGGAAGGGGACGCCAAGCCGATGTGCCCGCCGGAGGACGAGGACCTCAAGACAGGTGATGCACGCACTGTTAGCCCCAGTGGGGGAGTCAGGGTCATGTTAAGTCCCCAGAACCTGCAAACTAGTTGATCCCATGTTACTGTATCTTCATGGTGGGGATAATTGCACCATGTTTTTTGTTGTTTAACGCCGCACTCAGCAATATTCCAGCTGTATGACAGTGGTCTGTAAATATTTGAGTCTGGACCAGACAATCCAGTGATTAAGATCATGTGCATCAATCTATGCAATTGGGATACAATGACATGCATCAACCAAGTCAGCAAGCCTGACCACCTGATCCCGTTAGTCGCCTCTTACAACAAGCATAGTAGCCTTGTAAGATAAGCATGGGTTGCTGAAGACCTATTCTACCCGGCACCATGCTTTCAGAAAGAAAGAGGTAGGATGAGGACCCTTTCCGGTCCACAGTCTGCCAAGTTGATCTGTTATGATACATAAAAGGAGGCTATTGCAGTAATTGATATTGGAAGAGATAAGGTGATGAGAGTAGCAGCAGCATTGTTGGAAAGGTGATGACGAATGTGGAAATGACAAATCTTGCAGTGATAACTGATGTTCTTGTCCATCAGGGGGCACGGGTGGCCCAGTCGTCTAAGGCGCTGCGATTCGCTGTGCAGAGTTGCGTCGCTTGGGCACACTAGAAACCTATGATAGTGGGTTCGAATCCCGGTTCGCCCGACTATGTTTCTAGGTTTGTCAGCACCATACCCGTGCTTGTGGAATTCACCGAACTGGTAAACGTCTGAGACCTGCATCACTTCGGGCTTTCCTCCCACATTAAGACGGCATGCCGTGATATAACTGGAATACTGTTAAAAACGGCGTGAAACCCAACTCACTCACTCACTCTTGTCCATCATGAGAGATGAATCAAAGTATATACCTAGAATTCTGACACAATTTCAGATTGGAATAGATTCTGGTCAACTGTAAGACTTGTTCATGGAACATATCTGTCACCTCACTGGTAGAGCGTCAACAATTATTTTTGTCATTCAACTTTATACAGGATCTTGTCCTTCATCCATGATCAGACAGCAACCATACTGAGGCGAGCCGCTTCCTACATATACATAACATGTTTTGTGTTGTAGACAACTGGGATTACTGGGCAGGGGACGAGGAGGTCAAGGACGAGGTCAAGGATGAGGAGCTGTACGCCGACGACCCAGACTTTGTGGTACGATTGTTTGTTCATGTGATACAAGGGGCAGGTCAGAGAGGGATGTAGTTGTCTGTGTCGCGTCCAGCATGTCGGGCACGTGTGGCCCAGTCGTCTAAGGCTTAGCAAGTCCTTATGCAGAGTTGTCTCCCTTAGGTATGATTGTGGCAAACTCCTTCCCAGTGCGTGACACCTTCGTTACACTCTCGGTAACATCGCTGCCACCAGTGTGGGCGCGGCCATTACAAGAATCTTTAAATTTGCCCTCTAACCCCATATTAGTTACGTTTATACTTTTGTTTACGTCTTTGAGAATGCCACCATATTTCATTTTGAAAAGGTTTACGACTGACCATGTTTTCAAGATGAATTTACTTTGTTGTTTTAATAATCAGATTGGTTTGAGATTGCAGACTAACGGAAAATCAACCAACTTCTCCCTTGTCATCGTCTATTATTTCATATCTTGTCATCATCTGTTGTCATATCTTGTCATCGTCTATTGTGTCATATCTTGTCGTCTATTGTGTCATATCTTGTCATCGTCTGTTGTGTCATATTTTGTCATCGTCTATTGTGTCATATCTAGTTATCGTCTGGTGTGTCATATCTTGTCATCGTCTGTTGTGTCATATCTTGTCATCGTCTATTGTGTCATATCTTGTCATCATCTGTTGTCATATCTTGTCATCGTCTATTGTGTCATATCTTGTCATCGTCTATTGTGTCATATCTTGTCATCGTCTGTTGTGTCATATTTTGTCATCGTCTATTGTGTCATATCTAGTTATCGTCTGGTGTGTCATATCTTGTCATCGTTTGTTGTGTCATATCTCATTATCATCTGTTGTGTCATATTTTGTCATCATCTGTTGTCAGATGGATGCAGATTATGATCCAAGTCAAGGGAAAGAAAAGAAGAAGAAAAAGAAAAAAAGCAAATTAGCACAAGCTCTTTCTAAGGAGAAGCCCGCCTTCAACCCAGGTAGATATGCAACATGATTCATGACTTTCCACATCCACCTCTGGAAATAAGACAAATAAAAATCTCCACATATTGGAGAAAATGTAATACGGCTTGAGATTATTGTCACTCACAAATGTAAGATGTTGCCGCTGTTGTCATGACTCTCAGTGGTTACCATTGGTGTAGGTTAATGGAGGATGAATGTTTAAACAAGTCTTACTGTCATGGGTTTTTTCTTTTGCAGATGACAAGTCATTTGAGCAATATGTTGACGAATACTACAAGCTGGACTATGAGGATATGATCGGAGACATACCATGTAGATTCAAGTATCGGAAAGTCATGGCCAATGACTTCGGTCTCACTGTCAATGAGGTAGATTCTTGATGTCTGGGTGTTGTGTTTTTGGCAATTTAGGGGCGGTCGGGTAGCCTAGTGGTTAAAGCATTCGCTCGTCACGCCGAAGACCCGGATTCGATTCCCGAGATGGGTACAATGTGTGAAGCCCATTTCTGGTGTCCCCCGCCGTGATATTGCTGGAATATTGCTAAAAGCGGCGTAAAACCATACTCACTCACTCACTTTGGCAATTTAGGGACTGGTCATTTATGATAGGGGTGGTGGGTCAGGGGGAATCAGGAGGGTCACCCAAAAAATATCAGAAAAATAATACACATATTTGGGGAGGGTCATGGAAAAAATGGACAGTTTGTAAGAAAATATGACATGCTTTTGCATTTTGTCTTCATAAAGAAAATGTACAATGACATTGGGAGGGTCATCCAAAAATATGACAAGCCTAACGGGAGGGTCATTATTTTCAGTACATAAGAGCATTAAAAACTTCTGCCGCCCGCTGTAATAAATGGCCGGTCCCTTGAATACAACAACACAGATTTCGGATTGGTGTGTTGTAGATAAGGAAGGATTTGAGGTTATCAACACATTATTGGACAGCTTGACATGGTTTGACTTTGTGATGCTATCTGTATTCTGTTTCATCTCCAGGTTCTGACGTGTCGAGACAAGGAGCTCAACTCATGGGTGTCGGTGAAGAAGATGAGTCAGTACAGGTGTGTAAACATTTACAGGCAGACATGTACAGGTGGGGTGAACAGGTACAGGTATGTCAACACGTACAGGTAGGGCAGACATTTACAGGTAGGGCAGACATGTACAGGTGGGTTGAACAGGTACAGGTAGGGCAGACATGTACAGGTGGGGTGAACAGGTACAGGTATGTCAGCACATACAGGTAGGGCAGACATGTACAGGTGGGGTGAACAGGTACAGGTAGGGCAGACATGTACAGGTGGGGTGAGCAAGTACAGGTAAGGGAGACACGTACAGGTAGGGCAGACATGCACAGGAAGGGCAGACATGTACAGGTAGGGCAGACACGTACAGGTACGGCAGACACGTACAGGTAAGATGGACACGTACAGGTAGGGCAGACATGCACAGGTAGGGCAGACAGGTACAGGTAAGGGAGACACGTACAGGTAGGGCAGGCAAGTACAGGTAAGATGGACACGTACAGGTACAGCAGACATGTACAGGTAGGGTAGGGAAATATACATGTACAGGTGAGGAAGACACGTACAGGTAGGGCAGACATGTACAGGTAGGGGAGTTTACAGACTGTTTGATGATGTGATTTGATCTTCCAGGAGTGAAGAGGAAGAAAGGAAAGACCTGTCATCCTACAGACATCGGGCGAACACCAAGAAGAAATACAACTTACTGACTTCATTGCAAGACAGGTAACTCAGTGCAGTGGATCTGCATAATTCTTTCCCACATTTTCAGCTAAAAATATATTTTGAGCAGTTAGGATCAAATGATTAAGATAAGCAGCATGCTGTAGAAATACACCATACGTAACACAGCTGTTTAATACAGTGCAGTACTATGGTTTCTGTGGGGAAGGCCATAACTCCATACCCATGATTCATTTATAAATCTGTTAATCCACACGATCTGGTGTTGAATGCAACTTCCCTGATGACAGAGTTGCACAGTGAAGAATCCAGGTTGGAATTGGTCTTAAGCAACCCATGCTTGTTGTAAGAGACGACAAACAGGATTAGGTGGTCAGTATCGCTGACCTGGTTGATACATGTCACCGTACCCCAATTCGATACATAATAATGTCAATCACTGGATAGTTTGGTCCAGATTTGATTATTGACTTACCTGCATCATACAGCTGCAAAATTTCCGAGTGCGGCGTTAAACAACAAAACAAACAAGCAGCACTGTATAAGGCAAATGTTTGTTCTGCTTTGTGCTTCATTGAAACTGTTCACTCTGTATTACAGTGAGAAGAAGGACATTAACAGTCCCAAACCAAGCACCAGTTCTACATCAGAAAGCCTCCAAGCAACCAGTCAGTCAAAGAAGAATAAGAGGAAGAAGAAAGGTAGTGGCAGCCAGGTGGTTGTCAAAAGTGAAGTAGACTCTATGATTGACACGGCCACAGTCAAAATGGAAGACTGTGCAGATGTTCCTTCTGAAGGGAAGACGAAGAAGAAAGATGGTGACAGCCAGGTGGTTGTCAAGAGTGAAGCAGATGCTAGCGGTAGCATTACCACAGTCAAAGTGGAGGATGGTGCAGATGTTCCTTCTGATAGGAAGAAGAAAAAGAAGAAGAAAAAGAGGAAGAGAACTGAGGAAGTGACCGACTCACACCATGGACAAGACGGAGCAGAGACACCGAGTCCGAAGAAGGCCAAGTTGGACAGTGTGCGACATACAAATGGGGTGTCCACTGAAGGTGGTAAGGAGGAACTGTCACTGAAGAAACCCAAGAATAAGAAAGGAAAGAAAAAGAACTTTGGAATGTCAGATGACAGGTTAAAGGCTTATGGGATCAATCCAAAAAAGATGCGATTTATGAAAACAGACAACTTTAAGAAGGAAAAAAAGAAATGAGATATTCACAATTTGTACATATGAATAAACTATAAATACAGTACCATTTATTGTCTGTCATATTGATACTTGGTACACTAATGAGAAGTGTTTTACTCAGATTGCCACTGCATTTTGGCAGATCAAAAACCATTTCACTCAGTTGCTGATCTTATGAAATGGAGAATTCATCTTCTTAATTAATGCAATCACCTTAATTTACATGACAAGTTCACTGTGACCTACTTCAACATTGGACCTGTGTAGATCTGGGTTAGAATTAGTTTTCAGGACCCATCCCTGTAAGTGGTGACTAACGGGATCGGGTGGTCAGGATCACAGTGAGTTCAAGGATGGCATATGGCTGGAGTGAGTGAGTGAGTTTGGTTTTATGCCGCTTTTAGCAATATTCCAGCAATATCACGGCGGGGGACACCAGAAATGGGCTTCACACATTGTACCCATGTCAGGAATCGAACCCAGGTCTTCGGCGTGACGAGCGAACGCTTTAACCACTAGGCTACCCGACCGCCCCACATATGGCTGGAACATTGATGTGTGTGGCACATACAGGTAGGGGAGACTACATGTGGGACGTACTGTAGCTCAGGCCTGTCACTTTCTTGTGACGTACAATCATACTACAATGCCAATAATTACACAAAAAAGGATGAGTTTCATGAAGTTTATTATCAGATTATCACATAGGAAAAACATTCTTTAAACTAACATTAAAATCTGGAAATTTCCTAAGTCAATCCAAACAGTCTGGTTCAGTCAGTCCAACACTGGCACATTGATGCAGACAGGGTGCATCATGTATAGTGTCTGACATCACGTTCTGTCTACACAACCATGAGTAATCATCCCCGGAACAGGTGGCCAGCATAATACACAGACAAGAAATATAACGAATGTAAGTGTCGATGATAGGCTTGTGGTTCCTGTAATACAACTCTCTTTTTTATTCTGATGCTATATATTTATTGTTCTAAAGGGTAAGTAATTCTGTAAGTCAAGAACTAAATATAAGTAATATGGACATATTTCAAACATTTTAGAAGGAAAACGTCTGCCAAAATGCTATCATCCAAACATACAGATTCTATGGAGGGACCAGGAAACTATGTCAGTTGCTTCATTATCAACATTTCTTTCCGGTGTAAATTTGTTTAATAAGTGTACATTAATAGTTTTCACACTTTGCAATACTGTTGGGACTTAACTTGGAGCATGACTTTATTAACCATGTGGTTGTAGCTGTAGTGAGGTATATTTATGTCTTGAGCATCCAAGGATAAACTTGTCTTCGAAAATATTTCTGAAAATTATCAAGGATATAATGAGTTGAAAGGTTTATTGCAAATAAAAAGGCTAGTATTGCTACGAAAATGGTCCACAGTCACAACCAATGGAAAGACACATAGCTTCTTGTTACTTTGAATGCCTGTGGACACATTGTTCATATGCCTATAACCATGACTGAAAAACAAGCATTTAAATAACTTGTGTATCTAACAAGAACATAATCATTACATCGTCACGAGATTATCGGGGGATATCTGAAATTTTACATGCCATTTTTTTAATATACCCAACATCAACAATACACAGTACAGCTTCAGTTGAAGGGAAAGATTCACTATCAACAGAGATAACAGGTCTTACAAAATCCCTACAAACATTTCAAATTGATCAACATCTAAAATTAATTGTAACAATATTTTCATCATTTAAAAAGATAAAACTTTAACAAGAATGTGAAAAACATGATTCAATTGATTACAAATATAAACATCAACAGCTTCAGTTAACACATGTATTAAGTTGTGTATAAGTTACTTCATAAAAATCAGTCATCAAAGAGTGAGTGAGTGAGAAAGTGAATATTGCTTTCTGCTTATCAGCAACATTGAAGAAGAAACTTGGTGAAATAATTATGACAATATTTTCATACTAATTATGCTTGTCATGATCAACATTTGTCACATAAAACTGAAAAAGAAGACCTCCCTCCCCTACAAAACACATTAGTCTTTAACCAAATTAAATTAACTTGAAATTGTTTCTAGTTAGTTTGGGTGAAGTGTCAATCTCCTGCTGGATCTGGCATGGTGCCAAGTTCATGTAGAGTGAGTGAGTGAGTTGGGTTTAACGCTGCTTTTAACATTATTCCAGTTATATCACGGCGTGTCAGCTTAATGTGGGAGGAAAGCCCGAAGTGATGAAGGTCTAAGACGTTTACCACTTCGGTGAAACCCACGAGCACGGGTATGGTGCTGACAAACCTAGAAACATAATTGGGGCGAACCGGGATTCAAACCCACAATCATAGGTTCCTGGCGTGCCCAAGGGACACAACTCCGCACAGCGAATTGCGGCGCCTTAGACGACTGGGCCACCCGTGCCCCCAAGTTCATGTAGAATGGTGGGTGGATAAGATAAACAATATAAAAGCATTATAACGGGATGAATTGATCATGGTGCATAAATACTGAATAAATACTGTGGCGTGTGCGGAGTTGGATTTAACGCCACTTTTAACAGTATTCCAGTTACATCATGGCGTGTCAGCTTAATGTGGGGGGAAGCCCGAAGTGATGCAGGTCTCTGACGTCTACCACTTCGGTGAAACCCACGAGCACGGGTATGGTGCTGACAAACCTAGAAACATAATTGGGGTGAACCGGGATTTGAACCCACAATCATAGGTTTCTAGCGTGCCCAAGGGACGCAACTCTGCACAGCGAATCGCGGCGCCATAGACGACTGGGCCACCCGTGCCCCAAAATAAATACTGACCATTGCATGTTGCATTAGCTCCATATGGAGAGCTAGAATACTCTGATAACTCCTCACACTCATACATACCCAGTAAACAGCCCAGCATATAAGGGTGTAAGCTTTGTCCTGATATACATGCTAAAGTCTACAGTCTACATGTTGATTATACTAATACTAACTGCATCTAATGAGCGAATTGGGTTTACCGCCAATTTTAACAGTATTCCAGTTACATCACAGCGTGTCAGCTTGATGTGGGAGAAAAGCCCGAAGTGATGCAGGTCTTAGACGTTTACCACTTCAGTGAAAACCATGATCACAGGGATGGTGCTGACAAACCTAGGAATATAATCAGGAAAAACTGGGAATCAAACCCACAATCATACGTTTATGGCATACCCAAGGAACGCAACTCTGCACAGCTAATTGAGGTGCCTTAGACTGCATCTAGTTGGATTCTAGCTGTACGATTCTAGATGCCAATGGCTATACAACAGAGGTTAAAATCATTGAAGTTATACATCAGGGTTTGAAATATATACCCAGACCAGCAAACTAGTGAATGTATTTTATGGGTACATATCATGACCAGGACAAGAATATACAAATTAAAACTGCTATCAGTTTACTGGACATAACTACGAATAATTCTGTAGGTAGAAAATATGCGATTCCCCCATATCCTGGACCCAGCATATATAGACAATATCCTCAGGACCTTTCAGTGTTGTGATGATCAGAATGGGCTGCATATTTAATATTTGTTAATATCAATAGAACTTGTAAATTTGAGCAATGGGGACAACATGCCTTAAATACTGTGACCGACAATGACCATGTGAAGACAATGGATAATAGACTGTGTTAGCTATACAGAGGTGAGATCATCTGGGTTATTGAATCTAACTCTACTGAATAACCATGGCACAGCAGAAATATGGTTGTATATACATTTTTGATTAAAAAGAAATCTGTCATATCTAAAGACATTAATGGAAAGAGGCTTTGTAAAAAGTAACAATTAAAAGTATGAATTATTCATCTGCTGCCAAATTACCAAAGTATCAAACATAACTGTTTGGGAGCCTGGATTTTAAAAGCAAGAGGAAATCCTGTATGAGACAATGATTAATCATTCAATAATCCCATGTTCAGTAATATTGTATAAAGAGAAACAGACTGGGGAAATTTCCCGAAGTTGATTTTACAAAATAGGCAAATATTTTGGAATAGCATCCCTGAAATGGGAACTTCTGAAATAATTTTTTTCAGTCGCACTTTCACCCTATTTATTATTCAGATTCCAGTGATGACATGTATGTGTGGCAAAATACTGCGACCTTATCCCTGAGTATGTATTATGTATGTTTTGGCTCATTGATGTCAATAGATTCTGCTGTAGTTCCTCCTTCAAAGCAATTTAAATCATGAATATCAACATGGTATTTCTAGACCGCTACAATCCATGACTACTATCTACATTCTTCGGTTTGTTTCGAGATACCGTCTGTAAAATGCCATGTATCCCTCAAACAGTAACATTCCATCATTAAGGTGAGACGTACAGGGCACAGACCTCCATCGCGAAAAAAAATATACCTGAGATACTAAACAACAGCTGATACGAATGTAGTCACCGTACCATACTTTCAGCTTCCTTGTTACTAGTGTATTCACTTCTTGTAACTATGTAAATTAACAATAACATTATTAGGAGAAATGACTCCTGTTTAACAATGAATCACCACACAACATGGAGATATGCTCCACCGTATTGAAGTAATCACAGATGATATAAAATCTTGTCAAGGACCAAAGTACAATACACATTCAGATGCTTGCATACATGCTCTCTGTTACCAGTCAGTGTCCGAAATAACTGCCTGCCCATAGCTGGTCACGTTTCTGCCGGGCTGCATGAAATTTGCCTCCACCTGCCTGACTATCCCCCAGATAATCTTAAGACTACAGTAGAACACGGATATAACGAACTACAAGGGACCAGAGAAATCAGTTCGTAATATCCGTTGTTCGTTATATAGTTTTCGCTCAGAAATGTCCGCCATCTTGGATAATATGCAAGTGAACCGACACTTGGACACAATCTCGTAAAATTTATATGTTTAATGTTTGTTTTACAGACAAGATTACATGTACAGGTAAGATTAACACAATGCAAATTTAACAAGGTTGATCCGTCACTTTGAGTGAGATTTCTCAGTTCGCTATACACATCACAAGTTAGTGATAGATGGGTTTGTTGGTGATCAGATATCAGTTCCCTGTATCCGTTAGTTCGCTGTAGAGAGTTCGTTATATATAATTTTATATATCATATAGGAGATAAATCGGTGATTTTTTAACAGTTTGTTGTATCCGTTTGATCGCTCTATCCGTGTTCGTTATATCCGTGTTCTACTGTACTTATGTCATCAGTTTTATTGTTAATCCTTGTAGATTCTCAAGTAATTGTTTGCATTATTTCAACAAATCAAGATGTGATTTGTCTCCTAGTTTTTGCAATTTTTCAATATTCATAAAGCTTCAATGTGGGCAGGTAACGTTGAAGATGGGCAGGCAACACTTATGGGTCACCTGCCCCGCTGTCTTGATGGGTTTTAAAATTATTTCAAACACTGTTACCAGTAACCTGTAGTGACAGCATGACTAATGACAATCAGTTCAAATAAAAAACATAGATTTTGATGCATCTTTCTGAGATTTATCCATACATGTTCTTAATATGTATAGAAGGAGGATGGACAAATGTGTCCAGAAACATCTTAAACCACTAGTTGACAGTTCAAGGTACAAAATGTTAGCCAGGGGAAAGATTCTACAAATAATAATCTGTTTCCTCTATTGGATGAAATGTTGAGAGATACAGTTGCAAGAAAGTGAATGTATTGTTTGGTCCTAGATATATAAAAAAGGCTGCCTAGTGTGGATCTTCATCAGACTTTGTTGTCGCGGACCCGGATGCCCCAGATGCTGGTGCGCCTGATGCCGGTGGTGGGCCTGGCGATGCTGGAGAAGGGGAACTTGTTGATCTCTATGTGGCGCATGCTGCGACGCACAACCTGCAGCGCATCCTCTCGGAACATCCCAAACAGATCCAGTGCCAGCAGGTTGCTGATCTTGTCAAGAACACTGGTGGAAGAAATGTCATAATGAAATAGTCATTCGAAACCGTACTTTGAAAAAGCAAATACGCACTAGCATGTTCTCTATGCTGCTAAACAGGTTTATGTTTCAAAATCAAAGCAACTCCAATAGATTGTTTACTATTTCAGCATAGTGGTTCCAGTGAAGCATGAAAGCCTGGGGGTCCTTGTCATTATACCAATGTTAAAAGATGTTACAGATTTAGGGAAGTCCCTAGTGAGTGAGTACCGTTTTACGCCTCTTTTAGCAATATTCCAGCAATATCATAGCGGGGAACACCAGAAATGGGCTTCACACATTATACCCATGTCGGGAATCAGACCCGGGTCTTCGGCGTGACGAGCTTACGCTTTAACCACTAGGCTACTCGACCGCCCCTGGGAAAGTCCCTAGAATCAAACACAAAACCAGCAAACCTCAAGGATCCAAGGACCCCAGTAGTTTCTAATACGTCCCCTTTCTTGTGAATGGGAAAGAGTGAATGTTGTTTTGCACAGAAGTCAGCAATATTCCAGCTATAACATGGCAGTCTGTAAATGATCTGGGCAGGCAATACAGTTGACATTACAAGGAATTAGCCTATTGCCAGATCCCAGTAAACCTCAACCCAATAGGGAGGAATTAGACATAAACATGTATGGGTATGGGTATCTGTGCACATTCAAGTTACATTTCCAAAAATACTGTTGTTTCTGATTGACATTGTCTAATAAACAACTATTACTTTGAAATAGGTCAAAGCTGTCAGACAAAATGGTGGATTCTGTATCACTTCAGACTTTCTGATTGGTCAGTCATGTAACCAAGGCATAACACACCACCAGCTAGATCATACACTGCAACCATCAGGGCATGACAACACACCACCAGCTAGGTCATACCCTGTAACCATCAGGGCATGACAACACACCACCAGCTAGGTCATACACTGCAACCATCAGGGCATGACAACAAACCACCAGCTGGATCATACACTGCAACCATCATGGCATGACAACACACCACCAGCTAGGTCATACACTGCAACCATCAGGGCATGACAACACACCACCAGCTAGGTCATACACTGCAACCATCAGGGCATGACAACACACCACCAGCTATGTCATACACTGCAACCATCAGGGCATGACAACACACCACCAGCTAGATCATACACTGCTACCATCAGGGCATGACAACACACAACCAGCTAGATCATACACTGCAACCATCAGGGCATGACAACACACCACCAGCTAGATCATACACTGCAACCATCAAGGAATGACAACACACAACCAGCTAGATCATACACTGCAACCATCAAGGCATGACAACACACCACAAGCTAGATCATACACTGCAACCATCAGGGCATGACAACACACCACCAGCTAGATCATACACTACCACCATCAGGGCATGACAACACACCACAAGCTAGATCATACACTGCAACCATCAGGGCATGACAACACACCACAAGCTAGATCATACACTGCAACCATCAGGGCATGACAACACACCACAAGCTAGATCATACACTGCAACCATCAGGGCATGACAACACACCACCAGCTAGATCATACACTGCAACCATCAAGGAATGACAACACACAACCAGCTAGATCATACACTGCAACCATCAGGGCATGACAACACACAACCAGCTAGATCATACACTGCAACCATCAAGGCATGACAACACACCACCAGCTAGATCATACACTGCAACCATCAGGGCATGACAACACACCACAAGCTAGATCATACACTGCATCAGGGCATGACAACACACCACCATCTAGGGCATACAGTGTAACCAGTCTTCATTAGTCAGCTCTAAACAAGCATGAGGTACTGGGGAGTACACGGTATGGGACTTGGGTTGGAAGTAGAGGAGGTGTACTGACGGGAATGTGGTGGAGGCGATGTGGTAGCATCTGCTGAGGGCCAGGTGCTCCAACTCTGTCAGGTGGTCGGCGATGTGGTGCACGGAGGAGCAGGTGATGCTGGTGGAGTCACTCAAGTCCAGCTCGTTCAGGTAGGGACATGCACGACACAGCTGCAACACATCTGCAGAGGGAATACAGCATTAGGCACATTCACATGTATGGTTTACGTGGATGTTTGATAATAACATTCTCAGTGTTTAACGTAGTATTAGTGGCCCATTTGACAGTTGTAATCAAAACCAGACGTGGGGCCAGCTGGTTTGTGTATGCATTTCTTTGTTCTTTTCACAACTAAAACTGCATTCTCTAAAAGTCATTATTTGCCATTACTGACACACTCAGCAATATTCCAGGTACATGATGGCGGTCTGTAAATAATCCTGTCTGGACCAGACAATCCAGTGACGGATATCATTAGCATCGATCATCACAACTGGACAGTGATAGAAACTGGCACTAGTCCTATAGTCCTTGCCAAACTGCCCAGTAGTTAAGGTATCATAAGGACTAGTAGAAATTTGCCATTATTAAGGGTTTTGCTATATGTTATCATTATAAGGACTAGAGGACTAAAACAGTTAGTTTCTATCGCTGCTGGATATGATGACATTTATCAACCAAGTCAGCGAGCCTGACCACCCGATCCCGTTAGTCGCCTCTTACAAGCAAAGTCACCTTTTACGGCAAGCAAGGTTTGCTGAAGACCTATTCTAGTCTGGATCTTCACGAGTGAGTGAGTGAGTGAGTGAGTGAGTGAGTGAGTGAGTGAGTGAGTGAGTGAGTGAGTGAGTGAGTGAGTGAGTGAGCAGGTGGATAGGGTAGGTTGGTGGGTGAGTGAGTATGTTAGGTGTTATGCCACTTTTAGCAATATTCCATCAATATCACGGAAAAGGGAACCTGAATGGGCTTCACCCCTCAGGGTAAAAGAACCGGGGTCTTTGGAGTGACAAGCGAACGCTAGGGACTAGATGAAGACAAGTACCATCTTTTAACATCTCCGAGCCACAACACCAGAGAGAATATATTACATGTACATGAGACCCGTGAAGATTCTGGGGTAGAATAGGTCTTCAGCAACCCATGCTTGCCGTAAAAGGCGACTATGCTTGTCGTAAAAGGCGACTAACGGGATCGGGTGGTCAAGCTCAATGACTTGGTTGATGCATGTCATCGATCCCAATTGCGTGGACCGATGCACATGATGTCAATCACTGGATTGTCTGGTCCAGACTCGATTATTTACAGACCGCCGTCACATAGCTGGAATATTGCTGAGTGCGACGTTAAACAACAAACCAACCAACATGTACATGATCACAACTAAAAGAATCCCTTACCTTCATCAGTGATGTTGTCCCTGCAGCCACTGATGTTGAGTTTGCGTACACTGTCCGGCAGGCAGAGCGTCACGTACATAACATTGTTACGATCTAGGGATGTCCAGGCCAGATTGATGGAGTCAAGTCTCCGACAGTTTGACATGATGGGTACCAGACCATTAGCGGTGATTCCTCGACACATACACAAGTTCAAGGCCTCCAGGTCCTTGTTCTCTCCTATGTAGCTGAAAGCACATGTCTCCATTAAAACTTGTGCATAATTGTCAAAGGTACACATCACAGGCCATAATCAATAAATGTGATAAACAAATTGACATTTCTCAGAACTCCAGATAAACTGCGTATCTGTGTAAAATATGCATCAGAAATGCAGAAATATGCAGTAAAATAAAATCCAAACGTATCAAATACACAACGAACATTACAGATACACTACAAAAATAAAACTTGTGTGTATAATCAAAATATTGTGAAGTAACCCTGCGTATTCGATTAGCAAATAAGCAACTTATTTTGAAATTATAAACGGGAATTCCGTCAACCTTGCCAAACTCCACGATGACAGTTACATCATGATCATTTGCCATCACACTTTCTTGTGGAAGTAGCGTGGTATTTTTTAGTACAATGAAGCTCTCGAACCCACACGAACCCAGTTTGCAGGGACTAGATGAATAGTGTTTTTAAATATTTAACTTAAATACCCACATGTGTAAAAACTGGTGGGTAACAGAAATTTGAATACCCAGATAGAATTACTGATACCCAATGATTTTAAAATGCATGGGTAAAATACCCACAACACCAAAAGCTTATCTGGAGCTCTGTTTCTTCAATATGTAATTTGTCAGAAAAGCTTGCAGGTTGCAAAAGAGGAGTGTTGCTCAGTTAGCATTACTAGCTAAATCCAATAAAGGTAAGTGTCAAGTTGGTTTAGAAGTTCTTAACATTGATAGCTGAGAGTGTCAACAATGGTCAAAGTCTGACTTCTTTGAGAGGCATTTAGAAGTTGGAGTACTAAGTAAGGATAAGATTTATGGATGAACAACTTCTGGATAACGGGTGTTAGAACCTACACGGAAATGTCGCTCCTAATTGTAATAAAAAGGTTGTCCATCCATATATCTTATCCTTACTTGGTCATAGGCTGGTTATTTCTACTTTAACAATCTGCGTTGTCAAGAGCCCAATCAGATTTTTTTCAAAAGATGAGATGTCTGAGTTTCTGAAAGAGTTTTCGACAGACTATTGTTCAAAGATAACAATCGACTGTATTATGTTTTCTCCGAAAATGATCATTTCTGATTAAATACGATGTTTTTATACTTACCTGATGCTACACAGTCCTTTTGGTGTAGCGCTAGGTAGGGTAAAACATGAGCATTTCTGATTAAATGCAAGGTTTTTATACTTAACTGATGCAACTTAGTCCTATAGGTAAGGTAAAACATGAGCATTTCGGGTTAAATGCAAGGTTTTTATACTTACCTGACGCTACTAAGTCAGATAGGTAAGATAAAACATCAGCATTTCTCATTAAATGCAAGGTTTTTATACTTACCTGATGCTACACAGTCCTTTTTGCGTAGCGCCATATAAGGTAAAACATGCGCATTTCTGATTAAATGCAATGTTTTTATACTGACCTGACGCTAAACCTATGACTGTGTAGCGCCAGGTAAGATAAAACTTAATTTTCAAACAATCCACAGTACAAACCTGCATATATTATCACTGAGCTCAGCATTCTCCAAGCTGATTTTCTTGAGATCTGAACACACGGAAAACAACTGTTCCAGGGTGTCGACACAGATGGCTGCCATGCTCAGGTCTAAATACTGGACTCGGTACATACTGGAACACATACAACACACACACTGCAGACAAAGAAACACAATAGGTGAGGTGAGGTGAAATGGGAGTTGGCGTCGCGTCCAAGATTATTGGACTTATATAACGATGAGCATGCACGTGTATGTGTGTGTGTGTGGCTGCTTGTACTAGTCCGGACTGATGCCGATTTATAGTGCTAGCACACTGATATACCATGCCGCAGTTTAACATGGATACCCCACTCAGACACAGTATACTGACTCCAAGCCGACCAGTCCTTGTTTTAGCCCCTTAATGCCGAGCGCCAGACAGGGTAACAACAAGTACCACCTTTTAATGTCTTTTGGTATGAGGCGGCTGGGGATCGAACCCCAGACCTTCCGCTCTCCGGGCGGACGCTCTACCATTAGACCAAGGAGGCGGTCCAAGAAACACAATACCTCACACGTGTGGCTTAATATGTATGTGTGAGTGTTTTATTGAATTTTAAACAGTTTACAGAGAAAAGCTTCTTGGCACAGTCACACATGACTATATTTATTCATGTTTCAAAAGGATAAACACTGCTGGTACACCATTGTATACAGGAAAGTGGTGTTGCAAATGTAGCTTGCATTCAATACATTCCTTACGTCCAGCGTAATATCAACTGTGTATTGTTTATTGTGGGGTAAGTCTACATAGGTACCAGGGATTTATCTCGAACAGCTCAGGGGCTGATATTTAGCCCCAAGTGTGCAGCAAATGACAGTAAAAATTCCCAATTTGAATTATAAATTTCCCAATTCCTCAAAATTTACGAAAATATGAACGTCATAAAAATTCAAATTTTGAACCAGATCACAATTTGTTCTCAGTGCACTTAGTTTGGAATCCTAGATAGGGACTTAAGTGGTCAAGTTTATTGTCGGCTTATACCCAACATGCCCAAGACAATAATAAAATCATAACATATACACACCCTAACATATTGCTAATTAATAAATTAATTAATAAGAAGAAAATGAAGACCTGGGATCGATTCCCCACATGGACAGTGTGTGAAGCCCATTTCTGATATCACCCGCGATGATACTGCCGGAATATTGTTGAAGCGGCGTAAAATCCAACTCACTATTTATCATCTGCTTGTGTCATCATTGTACAAGCAATGGTGAGAAACTTGAGATGTTTTAACTGCAAACCTTACCTTGAAGCTTTGATTTCTTTGGTAGGACCTGTAAATAATGGATTCTCAATCTGGAAAAAAAAGAAAATCAATTAAGGTGAAGACATTATTCAAGTTAGTTCATAATATTCTATGTAGTTCAATGTAACAGGTCAAGAATATATTGCAAGTTTGGTATAATATGAACATCCAGATCTAGACCTGTATAAACAACCTTTTTCTTGCACATAAAGGTTAAATACATCAAAGTTAAGGGTGAAACGATACAATACGATTCACAATACGCATATTTACATCAAATTGCATCTTCTTGACAATAAATACTTCAGAGCAAGTTCAAAAGGAAAAGCTAGCTGTAGACATGTTCGCAGGGACTAATTTAACAAATAAACTTGAAGCGCTAATTAGAAAACATTTTGAGATATCTGACTGACAAAAACGTTAACTGAGTAGTAAGTAATTTATTTTAGAAAGTGTATCGTCTTGTATTGATACAGAAAAGAATTATCATGTGTCTTATCGTCACATGAACACTCACAATGCACTGGTGCACCAACGTATCATTTCACCCCTAATAGATGTATAGTTGTAATTTGATTGATTCATGTATAGACAAGACTCCACAGTGTTTTAGTCATGTGTAAGACTACATAAGCTGAGAGGTGAGGTGAAATGGGCTTTAACGTCACGTCCAAGATTATTGCACTTATATAGCGACATGCATGCATGTGTTATGTGTGTGTGTGTGTGGCTGCTTGTACTAGTCCGGACTGATGCCGATTTATAGTGCTAGCCCACTAAGATACCATGCAGCAGTTTTACACGAATACCCCACTCAGACACAGTATACTGACTCCGAGCCAACCAGTCCTTGTTTTAGCCCCTTAATGCCGAGCGCCAGACAGGGTAACAACAAGTACCATCTTTTAACGTCTTTTGGTATGACGCTCCGGGCGGCCGCTCTACCATTAGACCACGGAGGCGGTTACATAAGCTGAGACATGTTTACATGAACAAAAGCTAATCACCTCTGCTTTAGCCAAGCGGAGGATGCGTACTCCTCTATTGATGACATTGCCCAGCGTTCCGGGCCCCAGTGCTTTGTTGGACAGATCTATACGTTTCCACAGAGACTCGTCCATACTGAGAAAACAACAGGAAACATGCATATTCATAGTAATTAAAAAAGACAACTACTTTGTTTGATATTGATACTGAAGCATTGTACAAAACTGAAAGTAAACAGCTTGTGAAAACTGACACAGACTAGTTTAGTGACAAAGCGATAGTCTGGCAGCAGCCTTTGCATATCGAGAGATGCAAGAAAAGGCATTGTCATGAAGCAGTAGAACTCCAGCAGTCAGCATTTTCCATTTCGGTGTCCATTTGGACCGCTATCATGTTCAAAAGGCTGTCACTAATATACAAACTGCATCAACAGACTAAATACACTTGCAATGAACTACTCAAACAATGTACTACATTGAATAGTTCACTTTTTTATGGCCCATAGTTGAAGGTTAGTCAGGCTTAGAACATTTTGACCAGCCCTTGTAACACGAATATCAATGTTAGATCTGAAGCTTGCCGGAGACTGTTGAACCTAGTTTTCTGGCTACTTCGTGATGACTCAGCAGTGACAGTGTCTATCCCCCATGGAGCATGACAAAGGACTGTCAAAGTTCTGGCAAGACTAACAGAATAGTTATTCCTCTCCAGTCTGCTTGAATGTAATACTACAGAGCATAATTCTGGCAAAACACAGCATAACTGGTTATTAATCTGATAAAAACTACCAGCCAGACTCCTACTTGAAACTAAAGAAAGAAATCAATGAAATTGGGTGATACTCACACAAGCCTGTTCCAGCGTGAGCACACTCGAGCACATGATGCCAACACAAACTTGGGCAACCACTGGAATACCTTCAAGATGGCTTCATCATACATGCTGTTGAAATGATCTGTGCAAACACAACATGTTCTTACATTGACTATTTCCAAACAGACCAAAATAGGTTAGAATCAAACCTTTGGGATATAACTCAACCAGGACTTAAGTGTGCCAACATGAAGAAATACATTTGATTCATCTAGATTAGCATTTATAATTCAGAAACAGTGTCTCATTTCTTTTCACCATGACTGATTCCTTTTCAACTTCCGAATCCCCATGCTTATTTTGTGAATCATACTGTGCATCAAGCATGTTCTTATGGCCACTAATTTCCATGTGCTTTTCCAAGTTCGTTTCAAAACTTCACTTATCACAGTTTTCATAAAATAAACAATGCCAGAAGCTAATCATGTTGTCATTTGTGGAGTGGAGTAATTTGTGGCATATCAACAAGATAGTGATTTAACGGTTGATTTTTGTTGTTAGCTTATAACCATGATAACCATGCTATTGCGATTTCAAGCATGCGATTAGTACATTAATACAATCAATTCCAAACCTTGAATAAGGTGTTTAGTACTTACCTAGTCCATCTATGTCGTTGTGGTATTTAGGCCCCAGGAATCTTCGGACACTTCGTTTAGGTGTCAACATACTATCACAGTCATCACTACTTGGGGAGAAGTTGCCCCTCTGACTAGGCAGCAGTACTCGTGGAGCCTGGGAGAACATACCAACATATTATCCGTCATTTATCTACTGAAAGGCAAAACAAAGTTGCCATGTGGAATATTTGGCTAAAACTTCAATTAGGTTTGAAATATGTTATAATGAACAGAGAAGGGTGAAAATGGCAGTATGACCTTTGACATCCATGCATTGTGAAGTTCCAGCAAAATATGAAAACTGGACCTGCAAAATATTCCTTGGATGACAAGTGGATGCTACATCCAATTACGGGTCATGTCAGACCATCCTTTTGCGAACCTTGACCGTACAATGGAATCCCTGATAAGGCATCAGCATTAGCCGATCAGAAGGCAGCTTTCTTTTGCTTTTCAGCACTTATTTTAAACTGTTGACATATTTTGACAAAAAATTTGAAAAATGATCAAAAGAACATTCTGGAATGGCTAATCATGCTAATAGATGGCCCAGATTGTATGGATTCAGTCATAAAGCCTGTACCTGTCGTTGGGAATACCCTGTGTTAAATGTTTCAATGTTGCATGATTAGAGAGCAAATTCCGGCTGTCACTTCCCTGATCTGGTAAGCAACGCTCTTGTTGTTTGGATGAAAGGTCACCCTGGCTTGCCCGCAATGGGATTTCCTCCAATCTTTGTTTAGCAGTAGCGAGAACTAAACTGATCTTAATGAGATTGCAACAGTACTCTTCATTGTACTCCCCAGATCTGGATGACCACGAGTTTCTACCCCTGCTCAGGACCATAACATCGCCGAAAACTACAACCAGTGGGTATCACAGATGGCAAGGTCTCTCCAAGAATAATAGGGTCCAGTTACAGTCAGTGCAATAATCTTGGATGCAGATAGGTGAGGTGAAATGGCACGTAATGTCACATCCAAGATTATTGCACTAATATAGCGACGTACATGCAAATGTGTGTGTGGCTGCTTGTACTACTCCGGACTAATGCTGATTTTGTAGTACTGCCCACTGAGATACCATGCAACAGTCTGACATGAATACCCCACTCAGACACAGTTTACTCCGAGCCAACTAGTCCTTTATTTTCTGACTTAATACCACATGTATAGCTTAAGTCTTTGAATGGCATTTAGAAGTGATACACATACGGAAAAGAATTTATGGATGTCAACTTCTTTATTATGAGGAACACATAATAAAGAAGTTGACATCCATAAATTCTCTTTCTAATGTATAGTTTATGTGTACATACTTGTGGTACTTGGAGTGGTGTGTTTCCTGGAGAACAGCCACACACTGTTGGTGTATTTTCAGCGTTACTTGAAGTACTTTCATGGCTGCTGTCAGACAGCAGCTCCACCCCCATCTCCTGGTAGATCTGCTCTGTGTTGCAGCTGTCCACTGCCCAGGTAGTACGCTTCCGACAGTGGATTCCACATTCCACTCGACGCTTTTTGCTGGAAAAGAACATATGGCATCAATAAGGAAAATATTCACCTTTGAATCGAAAATAACTGGTTTCTAAATAGAAGTGAAATTATTGTAATTACCAGCATACATCATGTACATGGTATGGTCCTCACTATCACAGAGCCCCAAATTATTTCAAATCTTACATGTCTCATGGGCTAAAAGTAACATATCAGTGATACCTGACTACGAAATCATTGGTATGAAAAAACAACTGACCATTAAAATTCAGGAAGGACTTTGACATGGACTTACAATACTCAAAACTTCAGTTTGAATACTGATAAACATTTTCCCCAGTGTTTCACATTATTTTTTCTGGGACAGTGACTGATTGTCATCTAAAATGTCCTGAAGGCGTTTTTCAAATTTAGTAAAGATAAAGAAGATTGTCATTTCAAACAATGATAAAATCAGGAACATGTCATAATGTCATTCCCCCGACAAAATCACTGATACTCTCTTACGATCCACTAGAAATATAAGTTTACATATTTGTAAACTGTAAATATGATAGCCCACTGTGCTGTTGTAAGATTGTTGACAAAGAGACTTGTTTGTCTTAAATCGTGATAATCATTGCTAAAGTTAAATGAGAGTGCTGATATTATACCTACTTCCCCATCTAAGACTATATGTAGTCAGAAAAGTATTAACATAATTATTGAATGTTATAGGTTAATAGATGGCCCTTTGCAAAGAATCGGTGAACGCGTCCATGTCCAGCCAATGCAACAAAACGAACTTTTAATTTGCAATACCACAAAAACCAAACGATTTTATATGCTGTATTTGCACTTAAACGTTTGTTCTGCAATGAAATATTGTATGTACCTTGGATTTGTAAATAAATTTTCCTTAGATGACTCCAGTGTAGATTTTTTTCCAGCCTTGTTTTTACCCATCTTTGATTTTAGCGCCAAGGATCTCCAGCATATTTTCGCGTAAATTTTTCCTCTCCACGCATGCGTAATTTAACAGGAAGTAAACTATTTTTGCATATGTAGTATATTCCTAACAATACAACACATCTCAAATCATTTCTTATAAACTTCCTATGGCATCTAAAACGGAAATGTCGCAGGGCAAAGCAAACCACTAAATGTCAAACGTGGATAAAAAGTTAAGTCCGAAATTACGTCTTGATTCAGGTGTAAACACTTCTACTAGCCATGATAACTTGTTTACTCATCCCTTTTGTTTCGTAACAACGCCACATTGACACATTTAGAAATGCTATTAAATGTTATTCGTGTTTTTTTATGGATCGGTCAATAAAACTACATAAATCACAACAATAGTTACAATACTACATCAATGGTTTGCATATTATTCACATTTCCATTTGAAGTTCACTGTAAAAGTCATAGCAGTGTAAACCGTTCTTCCGAAAGTATTTCCCAAATACGCATGCGCAGTTTTAAAGGAAGTTGAAGGGAAAGCAGACGGAACATGTGCGTGTGCTTCACTTGACATTGACAAGACTTTGACCGTTAAGGTAAAGATTAACTGTTACACTAGTTAGCAAATGTTACATAAATTGAAGGGAATTTACATTATTTCCCTTGTCGTGTAAATTTTGTGGCATTGTGGCTGTTAGATTTGAAAACATGGTTGTATGGTATGACTTTGTTGACATCGAATTAGAACACAACCTCTCAAGACAAATGGCAACATTGACAGGAATGATATTTCAAGTAGACCTTTTAGCAATAACGACATGGTCTACAAATAAAACAAAGTCCAAAAACGTATTTTAGCTGACGTGTTTACCCTGGACATAGATGTCTGTGATGCAATGAAAATGTTTGTCACTTGGAGATCCCGATGTAAACAACTGCTGGATCCATAATTTCATGCCCAAACACTTCCGTTGCATCATTACATCAAAATGTACTGATCCAATGTGGAATGGATCCAAATGCATTCACCCACATGTTCGGGAATACTACACGTTATGGTACTCACTCTATCTAGTTTCAATTAGCGTTGCATAAGAACAGGAGGATCAAAGTCGTGTCGGGAGCTTGAAGCAATGCCGGGCTAATGAGTTAATTTCAGTTAATGAGGTAACACTTTACAGGGCAAGTTTAGAATTCAGCCCCACAAGTTCTTGTTAGGACAACCTCTGCTGCAGGTCACATGTCACAAAGACAAGAGACCAGTTTTTGTGAGAATCCCTCACACTCGAACCAATGACCTTCGGATTGTTAGCCTGACAAGCTAACCAACTGAGCTACATTCACACTGTTACAATTTGTGTAATGTACAGTTTACATAACATTGACATGCCCCTAAACACCTGAAGAAACGAATGATTGGTGATGGATACTTAAAAAGGTAAAGCGTAGCCATGGCGTCTCGAGACTTCTGACCTTCTGTCTACGGACTCTTGTGAGTGGTCACAATGCCATTTGGCACACTCATTCCGTTCAATAATCAGCAAGATTCTGAGTGGTAAAGAAAGAGGTGATTTGGCATGAACTCAGAACGGCTCAGGCGTCAGACATTGAGTTCATAAGTATGCATGAAAATGACAGTATTTCGTGGATTGATTTTGAGAAAAATGTGTGAGAGGGAAGACTGAAAGGATCGTCGTTCATAGTATATAGCATGCTATGAACATGAGTCAGCTTTTGAATCTTATCTTAGCAAGTGAAAGTGGCTTGGATGGAAGTTCAATGACAGTTTCCTTCAGCCAGTAGCATACCCAGCATCAAACCACTTCATCTTGTTTTTTCAATGTTTTTTGTGAAGAATAAACACAACTGAAAATGTGGAAATCAAAAATGAAAAAGAATACCCTGACCCATCATTTATTTGTACACTTCAAGGCTTCAATGTTTGAAAAACACTGTTCCCGTTTACCGTTAGTTACCAGTTTTTTACTGGAAAAATTAAGCTTGGACCTATAATTCCCGTGACTGCCAGTCCCTGTGGACCAGCAAATGAGGTGACTTGTAAATCTTCGTTGTTGAACAAAACATGATCGGTAGTCATAAAAGAATATTGAACGAAGTCAGCTTGTCCGTTGTCATCAGGGTTTCCCGTTGTATATTTTTAGTACAGGGAAATAATATTTTGCTTTGTTTCGAGGTTAAGTATCTATTTGTTGTGACTAACTTAGTCTTGAAATCTTCAGAAATAAAAGAGAATTTTTTTATTGAACTTTGTATGAATAAGTTACTTCAGAAATGACGTCACTGAATTTGTCAGCCATGAAAGTACACTAAATTGAAAATGGTGTTGATAGAATTAATATCATCTATCTTTTCATTACAACAGCATTTATGTGCATCATAACTACCAAATAAAATAAATAAAATGTATGTTAGTTTCCATTTAGAATCCCTTTTAGCCCCCCATGATTAACATGCTTTGATAAACAGGCACTTGCTATAAAATGAGCCGATGGTGGCTGTATTTAGTGAACAAATATTGTTTTTTGTTTAACGCCACACTCAGCAATATTCCAGCTGTATGACGGTGGTCTGTAAAATAATCGAGTCTGGACCAGACAATCCAGTGATTGACGTCATGAGCATCGATCCATGCAATTGGGATCAATGACATGCATCAACCAAGTCAGCGAACCTGACCACCCACTCCTGTTAGTGGCCTCTTACGACAAGCATGGGTTGCTGAAGACCTATTCTACCCCGGATCTTCACGGGCCGAACATATATTGAAAAACCCCAACATCACTTGGCTTATTCAATGACATTGTGTGTATAGATGATAGATCACTGATAGGAGCTTGTGCACACCAGATGAACACAGGAACTCTTGCCAAGCTGACCTCACAGGGAAATGTTTCACAGGTATATCTTGCAACAATGTTTCACATATTACATCATACGCAGGGTTCAAAATGTATATATACAAATGTGCAGAACACACAGTTAAAACAAACTCTCAGTGCCCTTACAGTTTGCCTCCACTTTTAAGAATATATGTAAAATCACAAGTATTTTTCAAGCACTAACTTGAAGTATTTAATTGACTGTGATCAGGTGAAGATTATAAATTTACATCGAGAATATAAGTTTACTCGCCACAATATTTACTTCTATGGGATCCGGCCATGTTTGTTTCAGCTGCGCATGACGGTAAACAATGCATTGTGGGATTGTTGTTTTGTTACAGCTGTGAAGCAGATGAACACATATGGCTACAAATATGATAGACATTTTGAACTTTATTTACTATTGCGTGAAACAGACAAACATGGAAGCTCTTTTAAGAAAGCTTGTTGTAACATGGGGAAAAACATAAGCAACAAAATTTTATGTATCATCGGAAAAATCAATGATAGTGACAGTGGTGAAAGAGAAAGTGAACCCGTCTGGAAAGTTTTGAAGCAGGGAATACCGCAAAATGTGATATCTTACTAGTATTTGTGACATGCCAGGAATCTTGGCATCCTGTGAGGAGAGATGGCAAACAAAACTGTTTGCTCTTTTGTAACAGGCTGGAGGGTTTTCAGAATAAGTAAATTAGATGGTCATCAAGAAAAAAATTGGGAATAACGCTCAGTCTCAATACATTACTGCTGCAGTTTTTCTATCATGAGTCAGCCCTCCGTGGTCGAGTGGTAGAACATCCGCCCAAAGAGCGGAAGGTCCAGGGTTCGATCCCCGGTCGTGTCATACCAAAAGACGTTAAAAGATGGTTCTTGTTGTTACCCTGTCTTGCGCTCGACATTAAGGGGCTAAAACAAGGACTGGGCGGCTCGGAGTCAGTATACTGTGTCTGAGTGGGGTATCCATGACTGTGGCATGGTATCTCAGTGTGCTAGCACTATAAATCGTCATCAGTCGGACTAGTACTAGCAGCCGCACACACACACACGTGCATGCACGTCGCTATATAAGTGCAATAGTTTTGGACGCGACGTTGAATCCCATTTCACGACACCTATCATGAGACAAAACCTATTTAATATTTTATTTATCATTAAACAAGAAAGACGATGACAGGAGGACTTGTTTAAATATCATATTTCCTGGTAGTGTCACACTGACAGTGTATGGACACAAATCAGTAATTCAGGGATAAGAATACATTTTATATCATCATGATAAACACTGACACAGTAAAATTGTTTGAGGCACTCATAGATCTATGATTGTTCTTTTGGTCATTGCTTGGTCATTTGGACCCTCCGATCAATCTTTCATTACTTCAATTAATCGGAACACCGCAAGTGTTTTTTTAACACCCTCATGCTGGAATAAACTTGATGCAGTAGCCAGGAGTATTTTGATTTACCCCCAGGAATTGCTTTCAATGCGTTTTTTACATACTTCATTGACTCTTTTTTCCATTAAAAAAAGGGTTACAGATTCCACTGACCGTAAAAAATAATGAAAAGTCAGGTAAAAAACTGAAAAGACATATCTTATTATTCAACCAATTGCAAACCAACGTGTTATTACACATGAAATTATGGAAGACAATATTCACAACACAATTCAACCAGCACTCCACACATAATGAGATAGTGTTTTGAAGGACGAAATCAGACAATATAGACTACAATGTCTTTTTTATTTTATTTTATTCCCACCTGCCAACCAGGATTTTTCTAAATATCTGTAAATTAAAAAACAATCAATACTCTGACCTTGGTGTAAGTTAGATATATTTTTATTTTGAATGCAGATTGTCCCAAATCTAATGGACTAAAGCTTCATGATAGCCTTCATGGTTAACTGGACAGATTGATATTGTGCTGTGAGCCATGTCATTGGCAACATCTGTCAACAGTCTAGTCCTTGCTAAAAATCATAGTGAACTCACCAAATTAACTATTACTTCTGTGTAGCAGTGTGTTTGTCAATGTGCAAAATGAACTGAACAGATCTCTCCAAAACATCTCTTCTCATGAGATTCATTAGCTTCACAATACCCCCAATAATAATATTTTATCCTTTTATTCCAGATACAGGAAATTGTTAGTTGAACATGTGATTAAAATATTTCCCCAAGTACAACTGGTGCCAGTGTCCTGTCATCGATCAGCATAAAAGGTCCTTTCCCTGTCCCGGCAGCCTGCCACTCTGAAGCCATGGGTGCCTCCAACTCTACACCTGCCTCACCCACTGTTGCCAGTACCCAGGCTGGCCCACCCAGTGAATGCCCCATGCATCAGAAGCAGTCAGCTAAGGATGTGAATGCTATGATGTCGGCAGCTCCCTCAGCCTACCCCAGTGAATGTCCCATGCACCAGCAAGCACAACAAGGGAAAATCAACCCTGAAAATATGGTAATTAAAACTGGATGTAAAGAATTGTTCAATTTGTGATAGCATTAAATGTTTAAATATGCAGGGATGGAAATAAGCATGAACTCGACAGCCAGGACCAGTTTTGTTAATGTTAAACAATGGTAGAAATTAACCTGTTTGGTCCACTAGTTCTTATAATGACAACATATAGCAAAACCCTTAAATTGCCAATTTCTACTAGTCCTTATGACTATTGGGCAGTTTGGCAGGGACTACAAAATAGTGTCAATTTCTATCACTGTTAAATGTGTCCAAAGGGCTGGTAGAATTTCAAACATTTGGGGTTGGGGTGGGGGGAGTTATTGCTATATGTTATCACTATTCAGGCTTTTAGACGTCAGTGGTTAATTTCCATTTCTGATATGTGATCTGTATGTCTATGTGGGAAAAATATTTTTGGAGTAACAAGATCGACAAATAATTAATAATAAAATTTATTTAGTAAGTTGTCTTTTGAAATATTATTTCCCCCTATGAAAGCATAGGGCATAGAGTGGTCACCCTGTTATAAGCAGTCCAGCAATGCAATTATTTTCTCTGTTCCGTCAAATATGTGATTAATTGTCCTTGTTTATATAAGCTGTCCTATCATTGATTGGAAATTTTAGTATTGATATATTGATTCAAAAGTATCAAGATGCATCAATATATTGATTGATAATACAATTAATTACCTATATAGACCTGCAATTGATGAATTAAGTTCTAAATGTATACTTGGATGATCCATTAAGTGTTTAAATTTGGAAGTTCACCAGTATTAACCATGGTAAATGTAAATGTTTCTGTGGCAAATGATTATTTTACCAATTGATACATCGATATCACAATATATTATAACATCACTAGATTCTCATGCAAAATAATCAAGAGGTGTAACCGTATGGTGGAGTCACGTTATAATATGTATACTGATACTATGAGTGTGATACGATTCGTATCCCCTTTCTGTACCTTTATTTCATCAGTTGATATTCCTTAATTTTGCGGGGGTGGTCGGGTAGCCTAGTGGTTAAAGCGTTCGCTCGTCACGCCGAAGACCCGGGTTCGATTCCCGTCATGGGTACAATGTGTGAAGCCCATTTCAGGTGTCCCCCGCCGTGATATTGCTGGAATATTGCTAAAAGGGGCGTAAAACCAAACTCACTCACTCACTCCTTAATTTTGCAGGTGAATCACAACCCTGAATCATTTGTTTTTAAGTTCCAGAGATCAAAGATTGGAAATTGTAGGAATTGTAGAAACATATACTGATATAGGCTGGAGGACACTGTTAATGATAGCTGTTTATACCCACTGGGGGAAATGTTCTTCATGGTTTTACCTTGACCGACAAAACTCAGGGTCCTGGGGACCCTCAATAGTAGATTTCAAGGGTCCTTACAGGAAATATGAGGGTCCTGTAAAGTAATAAAATCGTGTAGTGTACTGTACAATTTGATAATTACTTTAATTATTCGACACTTATATTTCTTGTCACAAAAAATTAAGTACTGAGGACGCACTATGTAATTTTTCTGCGTCCATGCTATACATTTGTGTGTCCTGGGTGCACATGTCTCCACCTTGTGAAACCCTGGCTGTTGCTGAACAGTTTCTGTTATTATTCAGGTGTTTTTAGACCAGTATAACTTGGAATAATGTGTTGTATGTATCATGATACAGGGTTGTAAAGCGATATATTGTGTCATGGGCCTTATCGTTACACCACTACAATACACACGGAATAGGTCTCCCAGTACACATGTACCATGACTGCATCAGATGTCATCAGGAGTTGATTGTTCTTAGCTGGCTGACCGCCAAGAAAGACCAACTCTCTGATTAATGACAGCATTAACAACAGATTAGACTTCTTGTTTCAGATGCCTCCCCCAAACCAGAGACCAGCCCCAGACCAGCCCTTTTCCCTGCCCACAGATCGAGTTACGTCCAAAATACCGAAGGTTGGCGCAGAAAATGAAAACTGGGTTTACCCTTCTCAACAGATGTTTTGGAACGCTATGCTTAGAAAGGGTGAGCAGACTTGTGGTCAGATGACTGCCTTTGTGGGGATGTTACGGCTGTATAGATGTCTCGATACCTATCTCGATACCTATCTCAGGTATCCAAACGTAATGCGATACTAAATATGGGCTGTTTTTGCATGAAATTCTCAATGTTCCATGTGGCGCGGATGACAAGAGGTTGTTCTTATCAACCACTTTGTTTAAGTTTCATGTCATCTTCCAGAGGCAAGGGAGTTAACTGAATATAAAAGTCCAGTTTCCACCCTTGCCGATCTAGGCTTGAATTTCGTGGATTGATTGTAGCACCTCCAGTGGCTATAACTAGTTAGGTCCCTTATATGTCACTCCAACTGACCAATCAGATCACTTGCATTTGCTTCAAACAAAATGCAGCACCCAGTCAACACGTTCTGATTGATAATCATCTTTATTGTAATAAAACAGCTCTTACCTCGCAAAGTGCATCAAACTACTTGAGCACCTTTATTAAAAGATTTGAAAAATCTATGACAACGCCCAGTTAATGTTACCCACACTCTCCAAATCGTGCAATCAACCAAAATCTGCATTGAATTTTATGAACCGGATGTTGGTTTTGTCGCTCTGTTTTGATTGGACTATATATAGACTTGTTTGTCCAGCAAAATGTAACTCTAAATTCAAGCCTAGTTCAGCAAGGGTGAAAACTAGATGTTTATGGTGAGTTAACTCCCTTGCCTTGGGAAGATGATCACATGTCTGGTTGTTATGCTTCTTCTAATCATCACCTTATAGAAGTATGCAATAAGATTTTGTTGCATGATTGAAAGGTTACAACATTGTCAGGCTGAGTGATTGTAAAACTCTAGCAGAAACTGACTCATTCATTGTATTTGGATCAGGTAATTTGGGCTGTGATTGAAAATAGAAATATTGCTTTATCCTGATTTTTTACAGCAGCGATAGAAACTAACAGTTTTAGCCCACTAGTCCTTATAATGATAACATAGAGCAAAACCCTTAGAAATGGCCAATTTCTACTAGTCCTTATGTTACCTTCACTATTGGGCAGTTTGACAAGGACTATAGAACAAGTGCCAATTTTTAACGCTGTATAGTGTGTGCGGGATGGCGATGTTTGATTATCTGTCTGTGTGCAGGATGGCAGTGTTTCATAATCTGTCTGTGTGTAGGATGGCGATGTTTGATTATTTGTCTGTGTGTGCAGGATGGTGATGTTTGATTATTTGTCTGTATGTGCAGGATGGTGATGTTTGATTATATGTCTGTATGTGCAGGATGGCGATGTTTGATTATTTGTCTGCATGTGCAGGATGGCAGTGTTTGATTATATGTCTGTGTGCAGGATGGCAGTGTTTGATTATCTGTCTGTGTGCAGGATGGCAATGTTTCATTATATGTCTGTGTGCAGGATGGCGATGTTTCATTATCTGTCTGTGTGTGCAGGATGGCAATGTTTGATTATATGTCTGTGTGCAGGATGGCGATGTTTGATTATCTGTCTGTGTGCAGGATGGCAGTGTTTCATTATCTGTCTGTGTGCAGCATGGTGATGTTTGATTGTATGTCTGTGTGCAGGATGGCGATGTTTGATTATGTGTCTGTGTGCAGGATGGCGATGTTTGATTATATGTCTGTGTGCAGGATGGCAGTGTTTCATAATCTGTCTGTGTGCAGGATGGCGATGTTTGATTATATGTCTGTGTGCAGGATGGCGATGTTTGATTATCTGTCTGTGTGCAGCATGGTGATGTTTGATTATATGTCTGTGTGCAGGATGGCAATGTTTGATTATCTGTCTGTGTGCAGCATGGTGATGTTTGATTATATGTCTGTGTGCAGGATGGCAATGTTTGATTATCTGTCTGTGTGCAGCATGGTGATGTTTTATTATATGTCTGTGTGCAGGATGGCAATGTTTGATTATCTGTCTGTGTGCAGCATGGTGATGTTTGATTATATGGCTGGTTTGCAGGATGGCGATGTTTGATTATCTGTCTGTGTGCAGCATGGTGATGTTTGATTATATGTCTGTGTGCAGGATGGCAATGTTTGATTATCTGTCTGTGTGTGCAGCATGGTGATGTTTGATTATATGTCTGTGTGCAGGATGGCGATGTTTGATTATCTGTCTGTGTGCAGGATGGCAGTGTTTCATTATCTGTCTGTGTGCAGCATGGTGATGTTTGATTGTATGTCTGTGTGCAGGATGGCGATGTTTGATTATGTGTCTGTGTGCAGGATGGCGATGTTTGATTATATGTCTGTGTGCAGGATGGCAGTGTTTCATAATCTGTCTGTGTGCAGGATGGCGATGTTTGATTATATGTCTGTGTGCAGGATGGCGATGTTTGATTATCTGTCTGTGTGCAGCATGGTGATGTTTGATTATATGTCTGTGTGCAGGATGGCAATGTTTGATTATCTGTCTGTGTGCAGCATGGTGATGTTTGATTATATGTCTGTGTGCAGGATGGCAATGTTTGATTATCTGTCTGTGTGCAGCATGGTGATGTTTTATTATATGTCTGTGTGCAGGATGGCAATGTTTGATTATCTGTCTGTGTGCAGCATGGTGATGTTTGATTATATGGCTGGTTTGCAGGATGGCGATGTTTGATTATCTGTCTGTGTGCAGCATGGTGATGTTTGATTATATGTCTGTGTGCAGGATGGCAATGTTTGATTATCTGTCTGTGTGTGCAGCATGGTGATGTTTGATTATATGTCTGTGTGCAGGATGGCGATGTTTGATTATGTGTCTGTGTGCAGGATGGCGATGTTTGATTATATGTCTGTGTGCAGGATGGCAGTGTTTCATAATCTGTCTGTGTGCAGGATGGCGATGTTTGATTATATGTCTGTGTGCAGGATGGCGATGTTTGATTATCTGTCTGTGTGTGCAGCATGGCGATGTTTGATTATCTGTCTGTGTGCAGCATGGTGATGTTTGATTATATGTCTGTGTGCAGGATGGCGATGTTTCATTATATGTCTGTGTGCAGGATGGCGATGTTTCATTATATGTCTGTGTGCAGGATGGTGATGTTTAATTATATGTCTGTGTGCAGGATGGCGATGTTTGATTATATGTCTGTGCAGCATGGTGATGTTTCATTATATGTCTGTGTGCAGGATGGCGATGTTTGATTATATGTCTGTGTGCAGGATGGCAATGTTTCATAATCTGTCTGTGTGTGCAGCATGGCTGATGTTTGATTATATGTCTGTGTGCAGGATGGCGATGTTTGATTATATGTCTGTGTGCAGGATGGCGATGTTTCATTATATGTCTGTGTGCAGGATGGTGATGTTTAATTATATGTCTGTGTGCAGGATGGCGATGTTTGATTATATGTCTGTGCAGCATGGTGATGTTTCATTATATGTCTGTGTGCAGGATGGCGATGTTTGATTATCTGTCTGTGTGCAGGATGGCGATGTTTCATTATATGTCTGTGTGCAGGATGGCGATGTTTGATTATCTGTCTGTGTGCAGGATGGCGATGTTTGATTATATGTCTGTGTGCAGGATGGCAGTGTTTCATAATCTGTCTGTGTGTAGGATGGCGATGTTTCATTATATGTCGGTGTGTGCAGCATGGTGATGTTTGATTATATGTCTGTGTGCAGGATGGCGATGTTTCATTATTTGTCTGTGTGCAGGATGGCGATGTTTGATTATCTGTCTGTGTGCAGCATGGTGATGTTTGATTATATGTCTGTGTGCAGGATGGCAATGTTTGATTATCTGTCTGTGTGTGCAGCATGGTGATGTTTGATTATATGTCTGTGTGCAGGATGGCGATGTTTGATTATGTGTCTGTGTGCAGGATGGCGATGTTTGATTATATGTCTGTGTGCAGGATGGCAGTGTTTCATAATCTGTCTGTGTGCAGGATGGCGATGTTTGATTATATGTCTGTGTGCAGGATGGCGATGTTTGATTATCTGTCTGTGTGCAGCATGGTGATGTTTGATTATCTGTCTGTGTGCAGCATGGTGATGTTTGATTATATGTCTGTGTGCAGGATGGCGATGTTTCATTATATGTCTGTGTGCAGGATGGCGATGTTTGATTATCTGTCTGTGTGCAGGATGGCAGTGTTTCATAATCTGTCTGTGTGTGCAGCATGGTGATGTTTGATTATATGTCTGTGTGCAGGATGGCGATGTTTCATTATATGTCTGTGTGCAGCGTGGTGATGTTTGATTATATGTCTGTGTGCAGGATGGCGATGTTTCATTATTTGTCTGTGTGCAGGATGGCGATGTTTGATTATCTGTCTGTGTGCAGCATGGTGATGTTTGATTATATGTCTGTGTGCAGGATGGCGATGTTTCATTATATGTCTGTGTGCAGGATTGTGATGTTTCATTATATGTCTGTGTGCAGGATGGCGATGTTTGATTATATGTCTGTGTGCAGGATGGCGATGTTTGATTATATGTCTGTGTGCAGGATGGCGATGTTTGATTATATGTCTGTGTGCAGGATGGCAGTGTTTCATAATCTGTCTCTGTGTGCAGGATGATGATGTTTGATTATATGTCTGTGTGTGCAGCATGGTGATGTTTGATTATATGTCTGTGTGCAGGATGGCGATGTTTGATTATATGTCTGTGTGCAGGATGGCGATGTTTCATTATATGTCTGTGTGCAGGATGGCGATGTTTCATTATATGTCTGTGTGCAAGATGGCGATGTTTGATTATATGTCTGTGTGCAGGATGGCAGTGTTTCATAATCTGTCTGTGTGTAGGATGGCGATGTTTCATTATATGTCTGTGTGTGCAGCATGGTGATGTTTGATTATCTGTCTGTGTGTGCAGGATGGCGATGTTTCATTATATGTCTGTGTGCAGGATGGCGATGTTTGATTATATGTCTGTGTGCAGGATGGCGATGTTTGATTATATGTCTGTGTGCAGGATGGCGATGTTTCATTATATGTCTGTGTGCAGGATGGCGATGTTTCATTATATGTCTGTGTGCAGGATGGCGATGTTTGATTATCTGTCTGTGTGCAGGATGGCGATGTTTCATTATTTGTCTGTGTGCAGGATGGCGATGTTTGATTATCTGTCTGTGTGCAGGATGGCGATGTTTCATTATATGTCTGTGTGCAGGATGGCGATGTTTGATTATATGTCTGTGTGTGCAGCATGGTGATGTTTGATTATATGTCTGTGTGCAGGATGGCAATGTTTGATTATCTGTCTGTGTGTGCAGCATGGTGATGTTTGATTATATGTCTGTGTGCAGGATGGCAATGTTTCATTATATGTCTGTGTGCAGGATGGCGATGTTTCATTATATGTCTGTGTGCAGGATGGCAATGTTTCATTATATGTCTGTGTGTACAGGATGGCAATGTTTCATTATATGTCTGTGTGCAGGATGGCGATGTTTGATTATATGTCTGTGTGCAGGATGGCAATGTTTCATTATATGTCTGTGTGCAGGATGGCAATGTTTCATTATATGTCTGTGTGCAGGATGGCAGTGTTTCATTATATGTCTGTGCAGCATGGTGATGTTTGATTATATGTCTGTGTGCAGCATGGTGATGTTTGATTATCTGTCTGTGTGCAGGATGGCAGTGTTTCATAATCTGTCTGTGCAGCATGGTGATGTTTGATTATATGTCTGTGTGCAGGATGGCAATGTTTCATTATATGTCTGTGTGCAGGATGGCGATGTTTGATTATCTGTCTGTCTGTGCAGCATGGTGATGTTTGATTATATGTCTGTGTGCAGCATGGTGATGTTTGATTATCTGTCTGTGTGCAGGATGGCAGTGTTTCATAATCTGTCTGTGCAGCATGGTGATGTTTGATTATATGTCTGTGTGCAGGATGGCGATGTTTGATTATATGTCTGTGTGCAGGATGGCGATGTTTGATTATCTGTCTGTGTGTGGAGGATTGCAATGTTTGATTATCTGTCTGTGTGTGCAGCATGGTGATGTTTGATTATATGTCTGTGTGCAGGATGGCGATGTTTGATTATCTGTCTGTGTGCAGCATGGTGATGTTTGATTATATGTCTGTGTGCAGGATGGCGATGTTTGATTATCTGTCTGTGTGTGCAGCATGGTGATGTTTGATTATATGGCTGGTTTGCAGGATGGCGATGTTTGATTATCTGTCTGTGTGCAGCATGGTGATGTTTGATTATATGTCTGTGTGCAGGATGGCGATGTTTGATTATCTGTCTGTGTGTGCAGCATGGTGATGTTTGATTATATGTCTGTGTGCAGGATGGCGATGTTTGATTATCTGTCTGTGTGTGCAGGATGGCGATGTTTCATTATGTGTCTGTGTGTGCAGGATGGCGATGGAAGGATGACAACATGAAGCCTGAAGACATGAATCACATCATCAACATCCACAATGCCAACAATGAGCAAGCCTGGGAAGAAGTGCTCAAGTGGGAAGCCATGCATGCCAGGTCGGTAGTGTCAGTCCTTCCACACAATGAAGTCACACGTCACTCTATGCATCGAGGCTTCAGTAAAAATTTGTTTTGTTTTGATATTTTCTGAAATCGTTTCCAGGGATTTGTATAATGTGAGCAGATTTCTCCAGAGGCATTGGAACAAATCAAATATTCTTCTTGCCACTGTTTGCACACTTGTGGAATTCCAGATAGGATTTTTTACTGTATAACTGCTAAGTGTGTGTGAATATGTGTGATGTGAGTAGAACTTATCATGTAGTAGAGTGAGTGAGTATGGTTTTCCGCCGCTTTTAGCAATATTCTAACAATGTCACGGCGGGGGACACCAGAAATGGGCTTCACACATTGTACCCATGTCAGGATTCGAACCCAGGTCTTCGGCGTGACGAGCGAATGCTTTAACCACTAGGCTACCCGACCGCCCCTCATGTAGTAGAAGGTGACACAGGACCTCTCCGGGCAATAGTTTGTTTGATTCTTTAATGCCGCACTCAGCACTATTCAAACTATATGATGCTGGCCTGTAAATAATCAAGTCTTGACCAGACAATCCTGTGATCAGTACTGTGAACATCAATCCGAGTTGTCAGGATATATGTTGACCTTCCATGAACCAAGTCACCGGGCTTGACCACCCAATCCATTTGGTCGCCTCTCATGACCAGCATAGGTTGCTAGGGACCTGTTGGGACCTGGAATCCCCACGGGGAGACTGGCATAGGTTGCTAGGGACCTGTTGGGACCTGGAATCCCCACGGGGAGACTGGCATAGGTTGCTAGGGACCTGTTGGGACCTGGAATCCCTGCAGGGTTCAAGCAGTAGGAATATACATGAGAGGAAGACAATAAACAGGGAACTTTTACTATGGGGGGGTCATAACCAAGAGTTGTCTCCCTTGCACTGCAAACCTGCTGCTTCTGTCCGGGCCTTCATGTTCAATAGCTTCAGAAATTTCATGTTGTGATCAAGTGAGTTTATGTCTTTTCAGGCAGTGTGACTGTCCAAAGTTGAAGAGGTTTGGTGGCAAAGCGAAAGAGTTTTCCCCTAGAGCAAGGATTCGGAGCTGGTTTGGGTAAGTGGTTAAAAGGACAGGGTTCTCTATACTCATGCAGTGTGAGTGCAATCCCATTTCATCTCTGAATGCCATAGGCCATATTGTTTGGGATATTCTTATCTCAGGATGTAATAACTCATCTGCATGCAGCCTTCTGTTTGGAGACAATTTTTGTTCAAAATGCTGAGCCTATTCTATTATTTTCTTTGATGATGCTCCTTAAAATGTTGTGCTTTAAAAAGGTTTGAAGGTTTGACAGGTAATAATATTGTAATTAGTACTTTATTTTAGTTGACAATGCTCATTGGATAAGCAAGCCTGAAAGATATACCATATAATCTAGTAACATGAATTGCATCATTGTTCGAGTCACAAAATCATGTACAGTTTCCACTAATATACAATTCCAAGACTAGTGCTATAACTTGTACATATTATAAAAGTTATTTGATAACAGATAATTTCAAATGCTTTTGGCTACCTACAATATTAGCTTGACTTCTTGATTTTACCACTGGCTACCTGGAAAAATATACTTGTAGCCATATGGCTTCTTGGTAAAAATTTAAACTTTGACGCCTGCTATGGCTTCCTTGTCCAGCGAAGTGGAAAATGTCCAAGACCTGCATCACTTCGAGCTTTCCTTCCACATTAAGCTGACACACCGTGATATGACTGGAATACTGTTCAAAGCCACACACTCTTTTATGGACTCAAAAAGCAATATCGATCTCAGGTCCATAAAAACAGTTCTTGACTTCATATACAGGCTCTATTGTTTTATTATATGATATGAGACAAAAGTTTAAACAAACAGAACATCTGATTGACTTAGGTTTGGGGAATACCACTGATGTTAGTCATCCTGTCAAATGCCACACTGTGCAAGCATTGTGCATTATTACCCACGTGGTGAAGATACAGGTGGTAAGATACTAAATCCGTACGTCACACGTGTGTCGTACAAGGTTGACCTTGTTTTATTCGTTTTGATTGGATAACCGTGACCTCTGTCACACCGGGACTACTTTTTTCATTCATAAAAAATCGCGAGACGTCATTCATTTTGCGATAACAAGGCAGAACTGAAGAAATTCATGAGAACGAGAGATATTTACAAACACTTTATTAAACCAACAAGATAGTCACACGCATCAAATTCGGTTAGCATTCTATATAAGTTATGCATAGAGCTTCTACAGACATATAATCGAGCTAGATCTATAAATCGATTTACAATGTACGACTGCCGATCGAGCGTGTCCCTTGAGCGTGATGCACCCGACCACTTTCACAACTTTCAATTTGATTTAACGTAAAAGGATAAGCGTGATGAAATGAAGTCTGTTTAAACTATCTGGACAGATAGCGAGACTTACTTGGGATGATCCGGTTGTGCCATCGTTGTCCCCTTTGAAGCGTATTTTGTGGCGCTTTTTCGGGAGGTGTTGTTCATGGATGAACGAACACGACAGCACGACCAGATAACTTAAAGTTCACAGTTCCGATACAAATCATTCGAAAACTCCGTGGAAGTGTGCCTGACTTCTGATTTTGTGGCCCCAAACATCCCAAATGTAAACAATAACATTCCCTATCTCTAGCGTAAAACGCTGTGAGTGGATCGCGGTTGTCTTTTCTTATTCTGGTGGCGACCTTGCCCTTCGATCGTTCGAAGCTTTCATTGACATGCAAGCAGATTTGAGTTTGTTGATTTTCATGTCTTCAGTATATAGGGTGGAACAGTTAACATGAATGTCTTTGGCGAACAGTCTGTTTTCCCTCTTCCAAAATGGAACGGACATGATATAAATTCAGCTGATAGATCAAGGAAACCGAACCATTTTGATTGCACAGACGGGACCCCGGCAGTGTGACCGACTGTTGGTCCGATATTCAAAGCGCGGCGCTAATGTGACATTTCAAATTTTCTTATCGGTGTCCTGCGTACTAACAACATGGCGCTTGAATTACCGAGGTTGAAGTTGAAGACTCTCTTCCAAAAGGATCTTGAGCGTCGGTGCTGGTTTGTTTGCAAACAGAACAGCAGGCCCGTGTTGTTAATGCGTATGCATAAACATGTCAACAATGCCCATATTTGGTCATATATCAATATTCATGCGCAACCAGATTTTGCAACCGGTTTCATTTTGGTCTGTCAACGAACGAAAGTTGTTATGTATTTACACTTAAATATATATTTAACGTGGGTAATAAATAAAATACCACACTCATTCTCGTTAGATACCATTTTTACGAAACTCGTGAACTTTCTATGGTATCTGACCTTGCTTTCGCTTTCGCTCGGTCAGATATCATAGAAAGTCCACTCGTTTCGTAAAAATGGTATCTAACGAGAATGAGTGTAGTATTCTCTATTTATCATATAATGGGTAGGTTTTTCAGCAGGATATAGCCAACGGATAAAAACGATATCCATTGGGGTCACATGCGGATAGAGATGCAAATATCAAAGGTCAACATGGTCAAGTAGGGACTACTTTTAGTGTTTATAAACAAACATGCCGTCGCCCTTGTCATTCAGCAATCGAGGAATCTGGATAAACTACATGGATTAATGCTATCATTATCAAAAGAACAATCTAACATACTGACAATCAGTGTCTAACTGGGACGAACCTAAGGCATTTAAATTTTTTTGGCAACTTTGGAGGTATAAATTTCGAAACAATTTTGCAAGGGCACTAGGCCTAGCCATGCGGGATCAGTAGCCATATCTGTGCTTGTAGACCTCTGCGGCTTGAAACCTTTACTCACAAATTAAAATAGTTGGATTTGGCCGAAATATGTTTGAATTGTTACCTTGTTTTGTTTTGTCGCTGTGTGTACATCTGACTACAGCTCTTAACGTTATGACAGGACAGGCTGACTGTCAACAACGCCTTAACGTGGCCGTGACATCTCATAGACTACGGTTAGAGTCGCTTCCCTATGACAAAGGGCAGTTACTCTAGCGGACAGACCAATGGATTGCCACGAAATACAAGTAAAAACAATTGTTGTTTTGCGTACATGTTGCTTCGCCACTGTATAAGAAACAGATTTCAGTTTTTACTATATTGGCTACTGTCACTGTCCGACTGACACATCACTTTCCCTGTGACGTAATAAATATTTTCCAGGAAAACTTGCAATGTTTAGGTAATGTTTGTGAGAGAGGGAAAGCGATTTTCAAGCACAGAATTAAAGAATGACATTATATGATAAAGAGGTTATCACGCTTGTGTGTTTGGGGATGGTAAATATCCTGTATTAGAAATAAACACTATGTATTTAGCTCGCCAAGGCTTGCTAAATACAATGTTTATTCCTAATGCAGGATATTTACCATCCCTAAACACACAAGCCTGATAACCTCTATTTACATGAACATGTTGCACACAGTTCTGTACAAAATGAGGATATCAAATGACACTTTGTAACACTGACAACTCATCAACCGTGATTTCTTGGATTATTTAAGAAATAAACGACAAGTGGGAGTTGTTTATCATGCAATAAAACATTGCAAGGAGATTAAACCATGAGGGGCTTTTATTTCTTATATCGGATAACAACATTGGTACAGCCTCTTTAAGGATGTTGAGAAAACGTACAAGCTTTAAAAATATTTACCCCAATTTTAGAAATGATGACTCCCTGAATAGGATACGACCTCGGAAATGTTGGACAGGTCCATTTTACAGATGGATTAAGTTTGGTATTTCCTGCATATTCTCACAATCCTCACATATACCGATAGTCATATCTCTCCCTCTTTTGGATGCGATCGTTTGGTCACTAGGTTTATCTGCATAGCCCAGCTGCATCTATGGGAAACAACTTAATAGACACTTCCCTTCTCAAAAATAGCGCCTTCCAATATATGATGTCATCAAGTTGCAAGCGCATATCAGAGCTCCAGATAGGCTTTTGGTGTTGTGGGTATTTTACCCATGCATTTTAAAATCATTGGGTATCAGTAATTCTATCTGGGTATTCAAATTCCTGTTACACACAGTTTTTACACATGTGGGTATTTAAGTTAAATATTTAAAAACACTATTCATCTAGTCCCTGCAAACTGGTGTCGTGTGGGTTCGAGAGCTTCATTGTACTCAAAAATACCACGATACTTCCACAAGAAAGTGTGATGGCAAATGATCATGAAGTTACTGTTATCGTGGAGTTTGGCAAGGTTGACGGAATGCCCGTCTATAATTTCAAAATAAGTTGCTGATTTGCTAATCGAATACGCAGGGTTACTTCACACGATTTAGATGATACGCACAAGTTTTATTTTTGAAGCATATCTGTAATGTTTGTTGCGTATTTGATACGCCTGGATTTTATTTTACTGCGTATCTCCGATTTCTGATGCGTATTTTACACAGATACGCAGCTTATCTGGAGCTCTGGCATATTCAAATCTCTAGAAATTGCATCATGATAGAACAATGTTTTATTTTTATTTCTTCATTGTTCTTTGCAATTTATCGCCTAGTTATCTTATATTTGTTGTTAAACAATGCTATAAGGGTAATTATTATCATTTGCAGAGGTATGCCATTGACTGTGGAGTTGATAACAGATGATAGCATAACAATGAATATGTTATGCGAATCAACATACCTTATTTGTAAAGTTCCTTTTTCTTGAATCAGTGTCTGCATGCTATCGCAATCACCGTGATGTTTTCTTATCAAGGGTAGTTCATTTATGTAGAGGGTACACAATGCCTTTTGCAAAGCAGTCAAATGTAACAAATGTTACATTTTGGATCACCCTTTCTCAGTAAGGTAAACATTCTGGTACTTTCTGTCCGGGATTCGAACCCACACTCTCAGAGTGAGGCACTTCATCGCACATAAAGTCAGCGATCTAACCCACTCAACCACCAAGGCTTCCACAAAATGAAAGTCCAACAACTGGGAGTCCAAATAGATACTAGTAGAAATTTAAATCAAGAGTCTTTAATGCTTAGTTAAAGAGGCTTTGAATGCAATGTTAAAATAACT